TTCATAATGCCCCCTTTCGAATGTGAACGCTGTTTTGTGTTGGTCTTCCGGGTGCATCCGTATTTGGTGATATCCCGCCTTAAGGTCCAACGTGCTAAAGACCACGGCTCCACTCAACCTATCCAGTATATCTTCGAATCTGGGGATCGGGTACTTCTCGTCTACCGTGTTATCGTTCAATTTACGATAGTCTACTACCACCCTGTATTTTTCCTTATTATCCCCCGGTGCTGCCTTCTTCTTCACTGCCCACAGGGGACTATTGAATGGTGAGGTGCTATCAACTATGATCCCTTGTTCTTTTAGACTATCTAGCTCCTCTCGAATATGCTGCCTCAACGCCTGCGGGTATCTTCTCTCTTTCACGTAAGTTACCCTATCCTGCTTCAGTGGGATTTCATGCACCGTCCTCCCTGTTACCCCTAATACCTCACCTTCCCTGAAGAAAATGTCCCTAAACTCCTCCTGTAGCAACTCCCTCCAGTCCTCCACTCTGTTCACCGCCCCTATCCGCACCCTTCTTTCTCTCGCGACTCCTATACATCCGAACTTCCTCTTTCCCAACCTAACACTCCAGGCTCCTCTACGATTCCTAATGCTCGCCCCTACCTGCCCCAACAAATCGCACCCCACTATGACCTGGTATTCCCGAGTCATGTTTTTTACTACGTGTACCTTCAGTTCGCCCTCTTTTCCTGCCCACCGATCAAGTCTTATTGTCGCTTCTCCCTCTACGCTACAGGGGCCACCCAGAGTGATTAGTTGGCAATCGCATTTTTGGATCCGGAGTGCCCTCTCACTCCCGCACACTTTCCCTAACGCCCCTCTGGTCATAATAGTGCTCGAGCTCCCGGTATCCACGAGGCACTTTACTCCCCCGTCTACCTCGATAATTGGCAACCAGCATGGCTTACCTCGGATGTTGTTGCATGTTGCTGTGCGCTCGCCTCTCTGCTGCCACACTCCTCAGATGCCGCCCAGCTTCCTCCTCCCCGCCGCCGTTCGTCGCTGCTCGGTCCGTTGGCTGCTCCTGCCTCCTTCGCCTCCACTGCTACCTGGTTCGTCCGTCTCTGTCCCCGAAGTTCCCGACTCCTCGGTTGCCTCTCCCGAAGATCCGTCCTTCCGCTGCATCCTAGCCCGTCTTGTCAGCTTCTGCGTGTTTACTTCCATGGGCTCGTCTTGAGTTCTTTCTCTCCTCCGGAATATGTACGGGCACTGCCTAGCAATATGCCCTTCGGTACCGCACTCGAAACACCTAGTGCGCGGACATTGTGCAACTAAATGTCCTGGCTTTCCGCACCCATGACATTTCCTGTCTTCCCTGCGGGGTCCATTCCTCGGCCTCACTTGTCCGGATCTTTTTTCACCCATCCTGACCTTTTCTCCGCTCGGCTGTACCGTTTCTCTCCTCTTCCAACCCATCGGGGCTGTCCGGGGTCGTCTGTCATTCACCCGGATCCACCCTGGTTCTTCCACGTCCATCCGAGTCTCTTCTTCCCTTGCGCTTAGGTCGATCATTTCCTGGGCACACTCGAGGAATGATCTCTCCCTGGGCAATCCGTCTCTCCTTCCCGTTTCCTTTGCCAACTGGACCTTGAGTATCGTCGAGAGGAACTCCATCCTGGCTTCCACCTCTCCCACACTCATTGTTTCGCGCATTTTCTCCGTTATGCGGTTGTACTTTGCCACTAGTACCCCCGCATACTGGCCCCTCGTCTGACGTTGGGACCGGCGCTCCCTAAACATTTGGAAGATGTCTTCCTCCGGCGTCCATCTGCCTCCTCCGAAGGCCTTCTTCAGTCGCTCCTTAATCACCGGCCATGGTGTCTCCTCGTCCGCCTGAATTTGGTTCAGGATGCTCCTCCTTACTCGGCACACCAGAGCCGCTTTCAACGCTTCCGCGTCCCCTAGGTTTACCAGGTCCTCCGCCACCTTTACCTCTATTCTAGACATGAGGCGGTCTCCGCCTTTCAGGAAATGGTTGAGCTCACCTACCTCGCCACCGAAGCGTTCCAGGTCCGCAATGGCTCTTCGAAGGTCCTGCGTGGTCGCCGCTCTTATTTTCATCCATTCCAGCGCGTTAGCGTGCGCTTCTGCCAATGTGTCCCTCGGTAAGGGAGGGATCTCCTGGATCTGCGGAATCTGCGGTACCTGAGGTATTTGAGGTATCTGAGGCACCTGAGGGGCCTGCGCGATCTGAGGTATCTGCGGAATTTCTTGAGGTTGAGGGATTTCCGGGGCGCTCAACACTCCCGGCCTGATCAAGCCCTCTGTTGGCATTTCACTCTTTCCTTATGACTAGGAGAAGGAAAAAACCCAAGAGAAAAAAAAATGACTTTAAAAAAAAAATTACTTCTCTGTTCTCCTGTCGTAGTCCCGGGTTTCGGCACCAGTTAAGCGTCGGCGGACTCTAACAATAAAAAAAAAGAAAGGAAAGGGCTTGAAATGCAACACTCACGGTTTCAGAAAAGATACTGATTTATTCCTTTAGTAATCCTCCTTATATACATTTCATATGTTTATTTACATTCAGGACGGTATTAAGGCTGATATCGCCGGTCTCCGGTCTTTATCTTATATATATATATATATAAAGTATGGATAGTAAGTTTAAAAGATTTTAGAAGCTATTGTTGGATAAATTTCATAACATTAAAAAAAAATGTGTTAAAAATGAAATCGGTTGTATAAGGTGTCAATAAATAATTTTCCTTGTTAAAAAAGGATAAATTCATGCCACAATTTAATTTATTTATGCCAATTTAGTTCATTATAAGAAAAGAAAAAACGTCTTAAAGGAAGTAAAGATTTTTAGTTTTAAACTGCGTTTTTTGAAACTTGTCTATCCTATGAATCCGACTACCTAGGATGGGCCGGAAAAGTTTCTATTAGTTAAAAAAATAAATAAATATTGAAATATCATATAGCAAAATTTCAAGCCACCTGAAATTGGTGAATTTTTACTTCTAGAATTTAAATATTTGAATTTGAGTCTGTCAGTGGATTTCCGCGGCCCAACATTGGCAGACAACATTATTTCTTTATTATAAACCAAATACTTTCTTACTTTTATAACTTCAAGTCCCCTGAAATAGGGGAATTTTTACATCGGAAATAGCAATGTTTTAATTTGAATCTGCCAATGAATTTTTCCACGACCTAGCATAAGCAGACAAGGTTGTTTCTTTATTATAAACCATGTACTTTCTTATTTTAAAATTTCAAGCCTCCTGAAGTTGTAATTTTTTACTACGGAAATTTTTTTTTTTTTTATTTAAGTTTGCTAGTGGATATTGGCCGGCTAACGTAGGCAGGCAACGTTATTCCCTTCTCTTAAACAGAATATTTGAAGTTTATGATTAAAAACTTATGACAGAGAGGAGCTATAAGATGGAGTGATAGTCATGGATCCAGGGCCCAAAAATCGACCTGATCACAGGGGAAGGTTTGATTGTAAATTACGAAAGTGTATGTTATTCTGAGTAAAAAGAACCTTGTCTGCCGTTCCAGAGCCGCCGCTTTCAAAAATGGCGGCTGATTTAAAGAATATTAGGTCTGTAATTTGAGGATCGAAACGGGAAATCCATTGTGAAAAATGTGGGAAAAGTTTTTATTTTTTTAACTTTTATACATGGGTTCAGACACGTAATAAACAAAATTGATAACGCGGGCCACCAAGTGAAAACTTTTTACAGCCCAAAAAGTCAGATTTTTCCCACATTTTTTGGGTTTTTCATCTATAACTCCTAAACGATGCATCAAAGCGAAAAATGTGTTCTTTAATAAATTAAAGAACGTTAAATTTTGCGTCCAACGAGTACATAAACTTTATAGTCTGGTTAACTATTAAGGTATAAAATCACGGTCAACCAATTCTGATTTTTACCAAATTTGTCAAAAACTGACACAAATTACTATAAATGGCCCTGTAACTTGGAAATGAGTTCCCTAAGAGGAAAAACCCATAGAATCAAAGTTGTAGAGCATCAAATTTTGCGTCCAATGAGTAATAACATTTTCATTGAAGGTCAATTATGTATCTCGAATCGGGATTCGTTATTCCTTTATGAAATTCGGTATCTTTCGACACATCGTTTATCAAAATTCCTTACTGCTGAAAGGTGGGAAAGAGGCTTATACAGCATGTAACAGCCTCTAAACAAAAATAAGTAAGCAGAATAGACACCCATACTGTTAAAATACCGAAAATCACGTTTACCTTTATTTTCAATTTCCAACCTTCCAACTACATTAAATTAGTTGGTACTCATTGGACGCAAAATTTGATGCTCTATAACTTTGATTCTATGGGTTTTTCCTCTTAGGGAACTCATTTACAAGTTACAGGGCCATTTATAATAATTGTTGTCAGTTTTTGACAAATTTGGTAAAAATCAGCGTTGGTTGACCGTGATTTTATACCTTAATAGTTAACCAGACTATAAAGTTTATGTACTCGTTGGACGCAAAATTTAACGTTCTTTAATTTATTAAAGAACACATTTTTCGCTTTGATGCATCGTTTAGGAGTTATAGATGAAAAACCCAAAAAATATGGGAAAAATCTGACTTTTTTGGCTGTAAAAAGTTTTTACTTGGTGGTCCGCGTTATCAATTTTGTTTATTACGTGTCTGAACCCATGTATAAAAGTTAAAAAAATAAAAACTTTTCCCACATTTTTCACAATGGATTTCCCGTTTCGATCCTCAAATTACAGACCTAATATTCTTTAAATCAGCCGCCATTTTTGAAAGCGGCGGCTCTGGAACGGCAGACAAGGTTCTTTTTACTCAGAATAACATACACTTTCGTAATTTACAATCAAACCTTCCCCTGTGATCAGGTCGATTTTTGGGCCCTGGCTCCAGGGCTATGAAGGAAAAGATCTAGTGAACGACCGTTCCTTAAAAATCGTTCACCTTTCCTACCGTTCATTAAAAGGTCACGTTCCTTAGTACCAGTTCCTCAGTGAAAGAAACACTTCTAGTAGAAAGAAACGGTCCTACTTAGTTCGGGGAACAGCCGCTCTTTACGCACGTGGTTGACAGGGTTATTCAAATGTTAGGTTTGTATGGTTAAGATATCCAAAACAATGGTGAAGGACTTCTCTTTATTTTCCGACTGTGGACGTTATTTTGTTTATTCGTCTCAGAGTGGCAAATTGAAGATATGGGACACCATTAGCGGAACATTAAAGCAGGAATATGTGCCTAATTTACATTTGAATTCTCCCTGTTCATCTTTGTCATGGATAAATTTGTCATCCAGAGTGGTAAGTAATTTTAATATTATGATTAAAAAAGGGTCATATATATATATATACACGTTTTCATTTTAATTTGTTTTTTTAGAATTCTCCTTGGAAAAGTAAAAAGAGGAAAATTGAAGAAGACAAGAATCTAATTGCCTTAGGAACTTCTGATGGTTTTGTTGCTATATTCAGTTTGTCTGAAGGCAAAATTGTGACTAAATTAGAGGGAGGCCACTCAGGTGCTGTCACAGGCTTAGGATGGTCTCGAGAAGCTGGTTTGTTTTCATCTTCTCATCATGAAGTTGTTGTATGGGATATTTCAAGCAAACAAATTAAAAGGTTTGTTCAATATGAATAGTAATGAATCAATTTACTTTTTAGAACTATAGTCCTTTTTACTAAATTATCTTTTATACTTATCTTCATGACAGTAAATGGAAAAGCAGCAAAGGAAATATAACTTGCATATGTGTGTCAGATGATGGTGAATTCTGTGTAACAGGGAGTCACACATTACAGTTATGGGACGTTAAATTAAAAAAACTATTAAAGACATATACTGGTCATCATAGTGAAGTTGTTAGTTTGGTGTTTATTAACAAGCAGTACTTTCTATCTTGTGGTTCTGAAGACCGGCACATCACAGTTTGGTAAATATAATCCCTACATTATTTTTATGTTCCTATTTATTTAATTAATATCTCTGCCTATTTGGGCTTATTGTATCCAAGAAGTAACAATTAGAAATATCGAAATTTATCTTAAAGGTATTACCTCCCAAGTAAATCACTATATATAGTCTTAGTGCCACAATAAGGAATATTAGATTACAGTGCGTTATATTAGTTGCCATTCTAAGTCTCTGAAGATTCAGCTTGGTTTTTTTTTATCATCAGTGTTTCACAACATTATATGAAATTATTAAATTTATTTCATGAAATAATAAGTAATTAGGAGATTCACATCGGATGGTAGGGTGGGTGAGAAGAAGCTGCATAGCTATAATGTTTGTTTATGATTGGGTTAGGTTATCTACCTTTGAGCCTCTTAGAAGTTTACAAATGATATTGGATTATTTAAAATTAATTCAACAAAAGATTTATAGATACTACTGTACTTGTGAGATTTGCTGAGTGTGTTCAAAAGTAGATGGAAATGACAGAACAATCTGATAAGACCATGACCTCAAGGTTCAAAATGACCACTAGTGAGCTTGCTGAAGTTGTAAATCACAAACTAAATAAAAGGAAGATATTCTATGAAATGGTTGTCAATCCCCGCTCAACTGGAGCAACACTTCTTTTTTCCCGTTTATTCCCTACTTCAGTTTTTCTGGCATTCGGAAGGATAGGAAAGGATGTTCTAGAGCTATAATGAAATTTAATCTGACCAGAATAAGATGGGTAGGATGATATTCATTCTGTGGATCCACCACAATTTCAACCAGTCCAAGCTGGATTTGAACTGGTGCCAATGGACTCAGTCTCGTTAAAGTGGGCAAAGCTTTAACATGCTCGGTCATCAGAGCCTTAGTATTAGTGTATTAAGTAAAATATGTTTGCACAAATTTTAGAGAAAGTAGTTAATGAAATATGTTTAAATTATTACACCATTTTTTGTTTTCTACAAACACTTGTAACTTCTAATTATTTTTTTGGATCAAGACTTGTAAAGTAGTAACCTATAATGATGAATGCCAAATGAATTAAATTTCATAAATATCTATAGTCATTAATTATCATGTTTATTTTCCAGTTGTAACTTAATCTAATGTAATAACTTAATTGTTTATTACGATTCAATGTTATCTATACTATTAGGTATTATATTTCTTACTCAGTTTTCTTTCCTGCATTAATTTCAGAATCGATTCAATTCTCTCGCTTTTACGATCAGAATAACTTTTCCATATCAAATAAAGTCTGGTGAATTTTCATTTTTTGGTAACATTTGATCAAATTGCTTTGAAAATGCAAAACTTAATATATTAAAGCACTATAGAATGCCTATTTTATAAGATACTATCTATAATACTATAAAACACAAAAAAAAGACACTTTGCAAGATCAAACCTCGTTATAAAGAATTAGTCGGAGGAATTACGTGTAATTCCTAAAATTACAGAGGAAAACGATTCAATTACTTTCACGTATGTGCCTTAAATAATAAACATCTGGTGCAGTGCACCTATCACACAACTTTTACTTACCACTCTCTTCTTAGCGGAAAAAGGTATTTTCAGACAATGGGGAAGTGAAAGTAAAAACTTATAGAGGCTATATTTATATATATTTCATTGTGGGTATTTTTATTTGTATAAGTACCCTCATGTATACAAATTTTAATATTTATATTGCTGTAATCTATACAATTAAATATTCAATAATAGCATTTATGAAAACCACATATGTATATTTATATAATATTATCAGGGTCCATATTATATTAAGCTCATGTAACGTATGGAAGCGTGACCTAATCTTTCGGGCGAGCTCGGGTGCGCTCGTATTCCTTTGGTTCCTCAATTACAACTATTCTCCATTATGATTTATTATTTCTCTTTTAGTTAATTATCAAATCTTTTCATATTTTATATTTAACTATCAATTATATTAGAGATTAATGTGAAATGGTCAATGTTCCAAATAAAAAAAGTTAAAGGTACATTAGGGGAAGCTAATATTGAAAATTAGCCATTTAAGCTCTATTAGGGAACATCAATCAGAATAAAAACTACGTTTTATTTAGAACTGCTTAATTTTACACTGACATGGCGAATTTAATCAAAATCGTTAAAGCCGTTTTCGAGAAAATCGTAAAAATGTGTTGAGTTCATTATTTAAAGTGTTACTTCCGGTTAGTCAATTTTGATGAACAAGTTGCTGTAACATCCCTAGCATAAAAAAACCTTAAATATGCAATTTAACTTAAGTACGACTTTTTGTTTTTGAGCTAGACTGTTAACAGACAGATATATATACATACACACACGCGCATAAAGACCAATTTGCGGGACTTGGTTATTTGGACTCAGGGGACTTTAAAACGTGTAATTCCATTGAAAACTGAGATTCGATTGCAAAAATTTTCACAGTTGCAATACTTTCCTTTACTATATATTTCATATAGGGGACTTGGTTATTTGGACTCAGGGGACTTTAAAACGTGTAATTCCATTGAAAACTGAGATTCGATTGCAAAAATTTTCACAAGTGCAATACTTTCCTTTACTATATATTTCATATATAGGTAAGTGAAAATGAAAATTAAAGCCCTGGGCAATCTAATCGTCCCTCTTGGAAAGCAGTGACTAATTTATCTCTTGACCACTTTACTTATTTTAATTTTGAATATATATTGAAATAATAGGTTAAGATGATGTCTTATTTAGATTATTTAAAAAAAAAAAGGAAAAGTTTGTGTGATTACAACAAAGTGGTAATGTCATGATCTTGAGAACATTTATACTGATTTTATTGATATAAATCCACTTATATTTTCATTTACTTATGCATTTTTATTTTAGGAGTACTAAAGATGATTGTGATGAATCGTTAGGGAGATTTGCAGTAGGGGAAAGTATAAAAAATGGTATAAGTATTTTTGAAAATGAATCAACTCTACACCTCTGCACCAGCACCAGGAATGGACAGCTAATATATTTTAATCATCAACTTAATGGGTAGGTATATTTAAATGAGTGACAATGTATTTTCATTTTTTCCTATCATTTGCTAATATATACATATACATACATATATACATATATACACACAGGGTGTCCCGTAAGTAGAGGAAAATTTTTTAAGGAGTGATAGCAGACCTTAAGGGCTACAAAGAAGTTCATTTAAACAATGGGCTATTTTCAGCCGAATAGTAGGAAATCCAAGTTTTGTGCTTTTTTATGTAAATCATGTTTTTTGTTGAATAGAAAGCAATAACTAAAGAAATATTTAATTTAAGTAATTAACAATTGCTTCACTGTAAACTAGACAAAATTCATTACAAATTAATATAAAGTTTCTTATTGTTAAAAACACTTAAAGAGGACTTTTGATTGGCTAAACTTAGCTAAAATTTGTTATAAAAAAATAATTCACGATTTTTTTTATCATCCAACTGTACTACAGATAACTCACTTCAAGAAAAACTTTCTCGTTTAATAAGCTTTAAGAAGGGGTTTTATAAATTTTAATTTTTACGTTGAAAAGAAAAAACCTGCTGATTGCTTCAATTATTTTCATGAAAACATAAATATGAGGATAAGGAACATTAATTTTGTCACTTATAAGAACGGATCAATTTCTATAAAATTGATTTGTGGAAATAAGCCCAGTTTCTATAACCACTTTACGTGAAAAGTATTTAAAAAGTATTATTTTAATGTTTTTTTTTTTAATAAATAAAAAGTGTAGTAAGACAATTATATTCATTATAATATATTCCAGCTACCGTAAAAACAAGAAACAATAGCTTTACAACAGTTAATTGTAATAATTTTTGTTGAAAACACAGGTGCATTTAGGTGATAGGATAAAAAATTACATAATTGTTCTACACAACTTGAGGTGTATCTCTGCCTGTGTACAGGGTGTCCACTAGGTGGAGGAAAATAGCAGACCTCAAGGTCTACAAAAAGTTCGGTACTTCTTGTCTAAGGGGCCACTACTGACTGCTATCTGCCAATGTTTATAACCTGAACACTGATAACTCCCATAACGCAGTGATAAGCCTTCTCCTACTTCACATCTTCGTATTATTGTATTAAATTCGTATTATTGAAAGTGTAAACAGATAACAAAAACAAATGTAATAACAACAAAAATACTTTTATTTGACGGCAAATATATTTAAAAAAAATAATAAAAAAACACTTTAAGAAGATATGTACATATAAAACATCAAAATGAAATAAAAAAATAAAAAAAATTTAAAATAACATATTTACATAGAAAAGAAAATATATCAACACTATAAACAACATATACAAATTATTTTAAGTTAATTATTCATTATCCTTTTGTCTTATTTATTTTGGAAGGCAAAAATGTTTTATGCTATTCAAAATAGCGAGGAACGGGTCCTCTACAAAATTCGCACAAATATGAATCGAGGTGTTGTCTGGCAGTTCCTCTATGTACTTTTATTTCTCTACTTAGCTGAGCCCCACAATCGTTCTATGTATTGAGTATGAACCCCAGTTGATGGATCGACAAAATTATACTGATGATTCACTTGGAAATGGTCAAAAATGTAAAAAAAATACAAACGGGCCAAAAACTAAAAATAAACACAAACGGGCCAAAAGTAAATAATTTAATAAGTGCATAACTGAATAAGGGAATAACTGAAAACTAAACAATGCAATAACTCAAAAGTTTGGCGGGATAAGAAGAGGGAGGTTATATGAGATGATAACATGACGATAGATAAGAAGTGAGGTTTCAAAACGGCCACTTAGACAAGAAGTACTAAAAGTTCATATAAGCAATGGGCCAATTCTCAGCAAATAAGTAGGAAATTCAAGTTTAGTGCTTTTTTAAACTAAGTCATGCTTTAGGATGAATAAGAAGTGATAAATAAAGAAATATTTAATTTAAGTAATTAACAATTGTTTCACTGTAAACTAGAAATTTTCTTCAAGTGATAATAGATCTTGTCATTGTTAAAACCATTTAAGGAGGACTTTTCAGCTGATAAACTTGGCTAAGTTCGTTTTTTTAAAAAAATATAAATTATTGGCGATTTTTTTTATTTTTTTTTTTATCATTATCCAACTGTACTACAGATACCGCACTTTTAGAAAAACTTCTTTGTTAAATAAGCTATAAGTTTCATGTCCATATTTATTAAATTGAAATTTACTAGGCAAATTCTTGAGATTCACCTCAAATGTCATCATCATTTAAGTGCACAATATTATTTATTTTTCATTTTCCCCTCTGTAATTATATTATTCTGATTACTAAAGATTAATTTCCATGGCAACATCTTAATTTGTTGGAAGGATTAAATAAATCATTTTGACATAAATATTATTATAAATATCAACCATTCTAGTTTAATTCTTTTCTTATAAGGCCAGGTCTTATATTTGAAGTCTTATTTTCAAGACTTCAGTCAAGAAACTTATCCATGTAAACTGGCTGTAAGAGATTGTCCCATTGTTGTTTTACTATTTAAAAGGTCTGCCCTCCATTAAGTTAGTTATAATTCTCTGTTATTATATTATTAGCCAAGTACCTATAAATATTTTATTTTAAAATCTTTAACTACTTCTATTCTTTTTAGTTCTTTCTTAGTCTAGGTTTAACTTAAAGAAAGATGTATATTGTATATTAAAGAAAAGAAACATGTATAATGTTTGTGCTTGGTTTTGTGTGTTCAAGTTTACTTCAGTATGAATGTATTTAAAATATTACTGTATTTTATAATAACTCGTTTACAATTAAATAAAAGATCTACTTTTATATAACTTTTCATTTATATATATTTTACAGAAAAATTGGAAAAGTTATAAAACCTCTGCACACAGTAGAAATAATAGATGACCATAGTTCTAACATTCTTCCTGTCACAGGAGTTAAGATGTCTTCAGAGTCCATGGTTGCGATTGCTTATGGTCATTCCCCATTCTTCAGTTTCGAAACACTTGTAAGTTGCAAACATATTTAGTTTTTATTAATTTTGTCATTGTAGATTTGATAAGCAAGTATTCTATAAATAGAGCAAGACCTTAATCAAAAACATAAAGACCAGTCAGCAAAGGGAGGGGTCATATGTTGAGTGCATGGAACAGGAGGATTTTGTTGGGACTCATAGAAGGTAAACATTCTAAAACCTCTACTGCTGCTTCATGTTGGGGGAGAGGCGCTTTAAAGATTTTTTTTTTCAGTGTTTCACTTATATCTTGAAAACAGTACCAAACTTGTTCTATCAAAAATTAAAAGATGAAATTTCCTTTCACAGTGTTCTGATTCTTATAGCTCTTGAGATATTTATAGTCTTAAATTGATGTATAGGAAGAACATTATCTTACCAAATTCCATCAGGTGAAACTCTGATTGGAAAGACTACTACTCTCAGAGTTGGTCTCAGACCATGCATGATACTACCCGGATAGTTCCATATTTTTAATGAGCGGTTCTATCATTTTTTTTTTTCCTCCCAATGTCTTTCTTTCACTCATAATCTTTCTCAGGTTCCCTGAGATAGATTTAAAAAAAAAAAAAAATCTGACCACAGTTGCTTGGAAGCACCCTATCCTCTTCGCTATTTCCGCTTCATTTAACATTAAAATTTTCATTTTTCCTGACCATGATGATTGCTTGAAATTGGACATAATTACAGCTTTTGTCCTGGCAATAGTTGAAACTGAACTGAAAAACATTATTTGAGTTTTCTTTTAGTCTAAATAATTTTTAAAAAAAATATTCGATCGGATCAACGTTATGAACATCAGAATTAAAAGAAACAGGTGATGCAATTTTCATGATCATGACTATATGTTGGGATGTGAAAGTAAAAATTATAGACATAACATATTCATTTAAAACAATTAATCATGTTTTTCCACCCATCGAATCGGTTAAAATTATATGTTTGTGTCACTTTACATTTTCTTTTACAACTGTAATATAATAATAATAAATAGGCATAATACCTCATAATATTAATGATAATCGAGGAAAGTGAATTTTCAGATAAATGTTGAACTTGATGCGAAACATCTGTTTGAAAAAAAGGAGTTAATATTAGTATATAGTGTATTTTATTAGGTATGTATTAAGAGATCCTCAACGTCTTGTGTGAAAATCTGTTTTAAAAATTATGGGTAAGTGAAACAAATAAAATAATAATATGAAAGCCCTGTACAGACAGCTATTGGGTATTTGTAAATGGAGGGGGATCAGCAATGGTCAGACACTCATAGCTGTTTCTGTAGATAAATCCTTTAGTTCATTCTTACCATTTCTCCTTTAGTTAACCCTCCTCTATAAACGTTGACGCTTTCCACACAAACATCAATGTTGTGTCGTATCTGACTCCTTACACCATAATTGAAATTTTTTGAACAGGAAAAAAACACAATATTAATGTTTAGTTTCGTTTATTGAACTTTAAACAAATGATATTACAGAATATATATAAACCTGAGGCTTGTGAATAATTATAAAATCCTCAGTTTGTTTCTTTCTTCTTAACATTCTTATTAACTATTCTATTAATGGAAAATCTACAAAAACAAAACTATGCAATCAAAAAAAGAACTAATTAACATGAAATAAGAAATATATAAATAGAGTTTTTAATAGTATCGAAGCATATACTTCTACAATGTCGAGAATACCATATCTGAGAGGCTATTTTTGTGATTTTTTCTTGGCAAAGCTTTTCTAACACATCTACACCTCGTTTGGCCATATTTTAAAATTTATTGACTTATGGTTTTCCAGTTAATTTATTTCCATCCTTTGTAAAGTACACTGAAGAGATCAAATGGACATATTTATTTCTCTTGAGGGAGTATGAAACCATCATTATGTTATCCTGGTGGGCGAATCGCGATGAACCGACAGGAGCTATAGATGTCAGTGATGTTGGAATCTGAGATTTGTTTTTCTTAGAGTTCCCAGTCTTCTTTTTTATTTTTTAAGCTCCTAAAGAGCTCACTGACAGCTGTATATTTGAAAGCTCAACATCTCATTGATTTCGTCACCTAATTCCTTATCAGATTGATCTTGTTACCTCTAAATTCCTTCCACATTTCATCAATTGTGGTGTAAACAACTTTTAAACTGCTGAACACCATTATTGTAGAAAATTTAAGTCTAAGTTAAGGACATCATTATAAAGACTGGGTCACATCTGACCCATGTAAGGGGCAAGTGAACTTGAAGTGAATCAACCAAAGATAGTGTTTCTCTCATTTGATATTAGCTTGTTGAAGCCTTTATTAGGATTTTCTGGAAAGGTACCTTGAGCCTTGTGATCTTGGAGGATGGGGAATACGAGATATGTGCATTAATCTGTTAGGTAGGTCGGATTTGACTCAATCATTTATAGAGGAGGATTAACTCTGTATAAGTTTAGTAATATATAGTTGAAATTTGAATTGATAGCGTTGGTGATTTTTTTATGTAGGTTTTAGTAAACAGGGAGAATTGAGAGAAAAATACTCTAGAACTATATATAGTAATTATATTTGAATTATATAGAGTAGTCTCATTTAGAATTGGATTAATTATAATTTTGGTTCATTATTTTCAACAATGAACCATTGTAATAAAAAAAAACTTCAAAAACTTAACCCCCTCTCAAAAATTGAGGTTTTACTTTTCAGGATATGTAGAATTCAAAAAACAGAGAAAAATTTTTTGTCCGTACGCCGTCTGCGCCTTTTCTCCGAAACTACTGGACCGATATTTTTATTATTATATATAAGCAAATTTAAGATCAAGTGTGCTGTGTTTGTTCAAGTTGAAAGTTCAAGTTCAAGTTGAAATTTTTTTGGACATTAAACGAAAACTTGGTTTTCCGTAATGGAACAAGTAGAGTAAGATTCCTTTTATGAATTTTACATTTAAATAAAAAAAAAAATGTACACTCAAATGAAAAAAAAAGTGAAGGAAATACTAACAAAAGATCTGAAATTCTCAAAAACATTTTGAAAGAAAATATTGTTAATCATAAATTAACAAATTGTTATTGATTAAATATTTTTTATTTTCAGGATATTACCAATTTGAAAAAAAACAAAGTAACTTTTACACGAAAGGACAAGCATTTGAATAAAGTATTATCTAATAAAGAAACTACGAAAGATACAGATGATCAAGCTCAATATGTAAGTTACGGAAACAGGAAGAATGCAGGAGACGTTGCTATGGAAGAACGCCTCGGAAATTTGTCAATAGGAAATCCAGTTATTTCCGATAAATATAGTCCTTACAACTTATCAAACCTACTTACACAGGTAATGTTATTAGCTTTGCTTTGACCTATTTTAAAAATGGTAAATTTTAATTTTAACTCGTAAAAATTATTCAGATAATAAATTCAACTAAAAAATTAATGAATATAAACCATAATTTAGTAGAAAAAGTTTCATAATTACTTAAAATTTTATGTCGGACAGTGGGCAGACACAAAAGAGCTGTTACTTTGTAAAGATATTGGAAGTATTTATCAGAATTGTTAGTGATTGTTGTTTTTATGTTAAGGTTGTATGTAAACATTTTACATATTTATTCTGTTTTGTAGTCTGCAACTGCAACAAGTAGTCTGCTACTATAGAAAATAGCAGAGGGAATTAAAATATAAAATTATACTAATAAATCATATAGAAATAATCAGTTTTTATGCTGTTATGTGAAAAAACTCAATTTTTACATTTTAACAGTAGTTATATTTAAGTAGATCAGTTAATAAGTTATTCTTGTATATTTCTAACTATGTTGTAGCTCTCTAAAAAATCTGTTGATGATTTGTTTCTTCAACTTACTTTGTTTTGAATCATGGAATTGCTTTGAATTTTGTATTATTGTTGAAGTTGATCTCTTGGCCAATTTGTACTGAAAAAATTAATTTTAATAATTTCTTAGTTAAGTTTTGTTCTATTTATTTGGATTTTCGTGTCGTAGTTTTGATGTAAAGAAGATATTTTGCTTCTTGTAATGTAGATTGTACTTCATTATTGATCACTTGGGCTGATTCTTGAAAATCATGTCTATTTCATTGATCTCTGCACTTTTTGTACTTTATTAAATTTAATTTTTTTAATTTGGAAGATAAAATTATTAGTTTCAGATCAGCTGTATAAGCAAGATAATTTTTTAAAAAGAATTATTAAAGAAACCTCATTGTTCTATTATGGAAATCTCCATAGGATGAATTATATTGTTTGAGAAATCCAAGGACTTCTTTAACAGATTATGTCGAATATAACTGATTGTGGGGTTGATATTCAAGAGTTTGTTAGTATTGATAGCATTATACAATAATTGGCCCAATTTTCCAAGAATAAATATATATATATATATTTTTAATTCTTTTTGGTTATATCACTAGGTTTATTCAACTTGAAGAGCAGACTCTTAACTGTAGGATTTTATGTTTTACAGCATCTTCATACATGGGGACTAATGACGGGCAACATTGAAACCATACGCAAAAGTCTACTTCTATTTGTCCTAATCCAACAAAATTCTACAATTGACAATGAGACAACTTACCCACACATGATCCATTAACCCCAACCGAACGTAGTTGTACAATCCTCAACTTGTATGAACCCCTTAGGATTATCAAATTATTCATACTTTCAATAAGCTTCATGTTGATTTTATAAAAAATTAGCTTTGATATCCCTATTAGCTGGAAATCTGAGAGGAAAACACAGTTTCATAACCAATGTACGTGAAAAATATTTTTAAAATCATTATTTTTAATTTTTTTATATTAATTAATAGAATGTTATTTTAGTATGTTTATTAAAATACATCTCCATGTTATGGGAAAACAATAAATAAAAGTTTTGAAATAGTTAATTGAAGTAATTTTTGCAGAAAACACGGGTACTGAAAGGTGACTGGATAGAAAATCACGTCATTTCTTTACACAACTTGCGGTGAATCTCTCAACTTTTTCTTAATAAACCTCAACTTAATTAATACATACTTAATGCATATTAAACAAGGAAGTTTTTTTAAAAGTGGGATAAATGTAGTACAGTTAAAGGTTGTTTAAAAAAATCACAAATTATTTATTTTTTTAAACGGAACTTAGCTGTGTTTATCCGTGCAATAATCCTCTTTAAATATTTTTAACAATGACAAACTCTAATTTCGTTTAAAATAATTTTTTTCTAGTTTACTATGGAGCAATGTTTAATTACTTGAATAAAATATTTTTTTAAGTTATCGCTTCCAACCCAACAAAAACTGTAACTCGTTTAAAAAAACACAAATCTTAAATTTCCTGCTTTTCTGCTGGAAATCGGGCAATTGTTATATGAACTTTTTTGTAGATCTTAATGTCTACTATCAATCTTTTAAATATTTCCTTCTACTTACGGAACACTCAGTATAATAACATTTATTACTTATTAAGTTATCAGTTTTATTGATAGATAATATCAATTGCCTTCCTTTTGTATTACAGTTGTTTAATTGTTGTCAATAGAAATGAGAAAAATTATCTCCTCTTGTTAATAAAATGTTTTCCAAAAGCATAACCATTGACTTGACTTGATTGTTCAATTAGATTTATTAACTGTCCTGTTTTGAAATTTTTCATCTATAATTTCAATATTTAATATTTACTATATGGTGTAATTGTTCTAAATTAACATTTATTTTCATTAGTATTGTAAAAATATTTAAATGTTTACTGTTATAATCAATGTTTATCTGTTAAATAGTTATTTTAGTTGATATTACTGTTATAGTTATGATCAAAAATTATTTATAATGTCTGCACCATGGATTAGTAATTTTTTTTTTCTAGGGGCTGGAAAGTAAAGATAGATCTCTTTTGGAGTCTGTACTCTTCAGGAAAGATCCACAAGTGATAGCTGAAACTGTATCTAAACTTCCAGTGTCCGCATTAGCTCCACTCATAGGCCAGCTGAATACTATGATTTTAGGAAAGACATTTCCGTAAGTTTTTGAATTGTACTCTTGAAATTGCTTTTATCGAATCACTTGTGTTTTAAAAATAGATTGTGCTTAATGATAGTTTATATATCAATGACTTCAGCACTATTTTTTTAACTTTTAGGAGTATAGTGGGCTGCATGTGGCTGAAAGGTGTGTTGAGGCAACATTCCAGTCAGTTGTTGGCCAACGGCAGTACGTCTGCGCTGCTGGCCTCCCTGCAGGCATTGATTGAAAGTAGACTAGCAGTTCTAGGTCCTTTGAGAGGCCTTTCAGGAAGGTTAGACCATATCATATCACAACTGGATTCTCCACAAGACCATTCTCCTAAAAATGAGGACTCAGTTCTGTTTTATCAAGAAGAAGGTATTGAATTATATTTATTTAAACTGATTGCAAATCTTTGCATTATCCTAAAATCAAGTTTTAGAAAAATCCTGGCAGAAAATTCAATTAATCCAAAATAGTTCTTATACAACATAACTAAAGTCTTACATACATAATTAAATTCTTATATACATATAACATAATTAAAGTTTGAATTGAGTGAATATTTTTAATTTTAGTGTTCTAGTTTTTATCATAATATATATGTGTAGATATACAGGGTGTCCAGTAAGTAGAAGGAAATATTTATAGGAGTGATAGTTGACATCAAGAGCTACAAAAAAGTTTATATAAACATTGGTCCGATATTCAGCTGAAAAGTAGGAAATTTAAATTTTGTGTTTTCTTAAGTGTCATATTTTTTGTTGAATAGGAAGCGATAAATGAAGAACTATTTAATTTAAATAATTACTAATTGCATCACTATAAACTAGACAAAATATACTTCAAATGAAAATAGAGTTTATCATTAATCTTAAAACCATTTAAAGATAATGGTTGAGCAGCTAAACTAAGCTAAATTCTGATTTTTAAAAAATCATAAATTTAATTTATTTTTTTTTATCATCCTTTATCTATAATTTTTATTTAAAAAAAGACACCCCATTTTTAGAAAAATTTCTATTTATCGGGCATGATTTTCCTAATGTTTTATAGGGAATTCAGTAAGCTTTTAAATACTCATATATATATTTTTTTCGGTTGTTTTATCTTTGACCGCATGTGGCCTCTCCCTGGTGGACGGTCACCCATCCAAGTGCTAACCACGCACGGCATTGCTGAACATGGTTACCTATTGCAAGCGCCTTAACCCGCACGGCTACACCAACCCCACTCATATGCATAATGAACCCACAATTGTGTACTTTTCGAGTTATTCGCAAATTATGAAGTCATTGTGACGTCTTGATTCTTTAACTTGACACCATCACATGATTTACACATGATTCAAATCAAAATTACGATTCCCACAAACTATATGATATTCCCTTTCTATTAATACCTCACCTAAAATCTAATTTGTTTATATTTTACACTTTTTGAATGAATTTCTCATTTACTCTTTTCTCATATAAATCGGAAATATAGAAAATCCTGACAACTTTCTATACACGTAAAACATCAACTGCTGTTGTCTCTCTAGTTTCAGTTTCTTAAATTTTATTCGAACTAAGTTTTACCAAACTATCATAAACACAAATAATTTGAAATAGTATTTGGCATTATAACCGAAGATTTAATCATATGTTTAATCAAATACTTTCATCGTTTAATCAGATTTAATCAAATAACATTGCAATCAGTATTTGTTAGCATATGCGAGTAAATAGTACAATATGCCCAACTCTGGTTTCAACTGTTATCATTTTATAAGCCTTTTCTAGTATTGTTTTCTGTCAGAGGAATCCTTATGAGGCAGTTTCAACTTCTCCCACCTATGCCTCCCTCTACTATCACCATACATTCTGTTTCCAAAATAGTTAAGCAATAAAGTTATGGAGTACACTAATTATAATATAATCGCTCTGGAGGACTAATTCAACAGTCTATTTGATTGAAAAAGTTTTGGTTTACAAATTGTTTTCTTTAATATCATAATAATTTTTATTGTCAAAAAAATATATTATGAATATAAATAATTTGATTTAAATGTGATTTATTACTAATAACTAGTTATATTTTTTTACCAGACTCCTCAGATGAAAGGGAAAGTTTGATGTTGGACGGTGATGGAAGTGAATCTGAAGACAAGTGGGAAGAATTGTCAGAAGACCAGTTGGACTCTGATGAAGCCTCTTAAATTAAAATTTTATTATATGTACAGATTTTAAATATATATATATATATAAAGTTAAGTTTAAAAAATCATTTTTTCCTCCTGAGTCTGTCTCATAATGTTTAAATTGTTTTAACTTATGTAAATTGATTTTTTTTTTAATAAATAAAAATTAATAACTAAGCATGTTAGTTATTATCCTTTGAAAATAAAATACTAATTACATTTGTTATCCATACTCTGTTAGAACATTAATTATAATGAAATCTTTGACAGTGATGGTTGTTTTAATAAAGAATAATTAAAAATGATTTTTCACCTTGTCGGGTCTTTATCTTTTTTTTTAAATAGATATTAAGTAGATACAATGATTTTACCAGTTATTTAAGTGCCTACTGAATGATATTACTCTGCCCATAGTAATATTTTATCAGTGTCAATAAAATAAAAGTAAACATTTGTTCCCTCACTCTTTAACCTCAAGTACCCGAGTGTCTTATTCAAATTAAGATAATTCTTTTTCATGTCTCCTGCTCAGCCAAATCTCAGGTAATGTTCAATTTTATTCATGGTTAGTATGAATGTTGAAATTACTCACTTTTTTGATGTTTTAGCGTTTGCTCACCAAATAGATGTTCATTCTTTTATATAGATTTAATTTTAAAGTATAACAAAAACACATTTGTAGTTATTTGATAGTGTTCTTTTAAATGTGTATTTGAAAAAAAATTAGATATTTTTATAATTCTTATATAATTCATACGAAATCATCAGTGGACCTTAAGTAATTTAAAATTATTTTATTCTATCCATATATATCAATGCAAGAATTTATAAATCAGATTATTTTTATAAGGAGATTTAAAAGCATTTCATCTGCTTTTAGTTTAATTTTTAAAATGGCTAAAGCGACATTTTTATTGACAAAGAGTATGTTTTCAGTAATTTATTATAATGACCAAGTAATAAATTACATTGTCTAGATGAAAATTAAGATAACAAACCAAAAAAATTTTCTTTAGGTGATATCAGGTGTCAAAATTAATACCTAATTTGTTAATTAAGAATGTAAAAAATATTTTTGTTCTAAAAACTATTCCAAAACACTGCTGGCAAAATTCCATAAACTTCCTATTAATGCTTACATCTTCATTCTATCATGATTAATTTAAAGTTTATTTGTTTGTAGGATTATCAGAATATTAGGCATGCAGTTTGTTTTGTATATCTTAATTAATAAATACTATATCAATTTTCGTTGTCAAAGCAATTGTTATAAAATAATTTAATTGAGCAAGGCCTATTAAGATATCTGTATTTTGTTCTTATTCATTAATTACTGCCTTTTGTTAATAAGGTCTTAAATAGAATAAATATTTGTTATATTTATAATTCTACTCAAATTGTGGAGTTAATGTAATGTTGCTCTTATTTAAAAAAATTAAGTACCCTGAAGTAATCATTGTTTAATACTAGAATTTTTAATATAATACCTATTACAATGTTCTTCAATATAATTATAAATTTCATGTTAAAAACAAACTTATAGGTTTATGTTACCTTTTTACTCCCCAATAACTGAACATTATTCCTGCCTTTTTATTAGAAAATGATATATTATTCTATTTAAAGCTTAAAGTTATACTATAACTTATAGTAGGTAGATTTAATTTAACTTCTTCAGCGATTACTCTGTCCAAAAAAACTGTTCTATTTAAGTCATTCTTTATTTCCTTCATGATTCTTGTGTTCAGTACTAAGTAAGGAAGTACTGTTTCTAACCTGATGGTTGATCAAGGTGTTTAGTCAAGTTCATGCTCAAGCACCAAGTTATTCTCCCAATTATGGGTATCCATTTTATAAAGGTTAAGTGTACCCCAGGAGGATCTTCCTTTTGACATTAGGATGATAAATAAATAGTATAAGGCTTGAAAATAAACTTGTAAAACATGATTTATAAAAAAAAATTAAAAGAAAAAGCCCAAACAAATCACCAATTAAATCAAATAAAGGTTACATATTTCAAAAAGCTTTATATATCATTAGGAAAAAGTGCTTTACATTCATTCACTATTTTCCCTGGCTATAATGTAGCAAGTTGCGCATGGTCTCGTTTATCTGTGGCTATCATTTTAGTATTTTCAGCATTTACTTTGTAATTAAAAAGTGATTTTTTCATTATAATCTCAGCCACATTGTAAAGACAAAATTCAACTTCAGGAAACAAACAAAAATTTTTAAGAATAATTTTCTGTCAAATTTTTATTGTTTACTTAAAACAAAGATTAAATATTTTTAATAAAGAATTTTGTTTATACTTCTGGGCCAAGTTTTAATATAGGCCTTCTTGGTAATATTGTAGCTTCTTTCTGTAAACATATCATCATAAGGAATTATTTGTTAATAATTATAGAGTGGGGTAACACTGTGAGTAAGGTGCTGTGCTACTGTTTCTCTTGCCTGGATTCTAGCCTGGCTAAGGCAGATAGTCATTTATTCTGTTAACTCAACCATGGATCAAATCTGGGATTGTGATTGTTAAAATATTATAACATTTTCTCATTTTACTTAATTAGTGATTTGTTAGGGTTTTTTCTTTGATTTTTTTTTTTTTTTTTTTGTATTTATTTATCAACCTAATTAATGTCAGAAGAAAGATCCTCCTGGGGCACATCCACTCACTATAAAGTGGATACCCTTCATTGGGAGCAAAACTTCAGTTTCGCAATATATTGGCTAAACAAACACCTAGCTCAACCATTGGCTTAGAAACTTTACATTCTAAGCCCATTAAAGTACTAAACCCATCATCCTTCATGAGTTGTAGAGGTACAGAATTTTATTTTGTTCAAAATTACACAAATGGCATTTAGCTTTGCACTCCAGGTCAGTCTTGTTGGCCGTAGATCGACCCTGGAGTCAGAAAATCCTCCTGAGGTACACCCAGCCTCTATAAAGTTGGTACGCTTAATTAATTCATCAGTTAAGGAGAAAAACCTGGTGGATGAGTGGGATGTCGGTCAAATCACATTACGAAACCTTTGACCAAGAAACAGTATTTTTACTCCAGTCCTCCAGAATAAATGTCTGTTCCATTGTTAATCTGCTTTTTTCCAAAGATAACTGGTAATAGCTCACATTTCTTTCATAATCTGATGCAAGTTGTTATTAATGTAATAATATAGAAGTTATATTTAACAATCAGCTTTGTGATTTATCATTGTCCCTGCATTATGTTTTATCGCTTTTCTTGTAACTTTCAGTAATTAATCGATTGTTCTATTTTCCCGACTTATGTTGTTTTCCCAACATATTTCATAAGTTGGCACAGTTTTTGCTACTTCTATTTCTTCAATCATTCAAAATTAACAATTACCGAGGCTCTCTGAAATATTTTACATCCAGTGTGCTACAAAGCTACGAAAATGCCTTGTGACAACATAAAAATAATTAATCATGTTTTTCATATTAGGTGTAGGTGTACTCAATTGATTTATGATTATTCTTCTGTGGAAATCATGCTGCTACTCATAGTATTATCTTGAAGTAAATTTAAATTGCCCTCATTATTCCAGTATTACTTTTCCCTGTGTAAATAAAAACGTGCCACCAAATCCAATGTTAATCTTTAATTCCAGTAAATCCAAAATATATAGCTTCCTATGAAGCATGCTTTCTCTTGTTCATTACACTTTTGAAAGGCACTGTATTAAAGTCATATTTAATAGACCTACACCAATTAATTTTTAACCACTGCAGTTTCTTCACATATTTAGGATATACTCAAACCATGCACAGGCTGATGTTCTTGGTTTGAGTGTACTCTAAGAATCAAATGCATTACTTTTAGCTCTGGCAGAAACCTTAAACATAAAGATGATAAGGACAGCAGAAACACCTCTCTACCAAGAAGAATGCGATCGAAGTCAGAATCATATTCTGTTTTTGTGCAGAATTCCCTGACTGAACAGTGTGCAAATGGAGAACTTTTCAGGTAAGTTATAATTTAAACATTTTATGATTTAAAAAGTTAACTATGTAAAATTAGCGTGCCTTTTTTTTTTTTTTTCATTTAGATCCAGGGATCGACTCCTTAGAACTCAGAGACACCCTAAACCTTCAGTGCTTTGTAAATTCACCAAAGAACAAATTTTCGTATTGTTTACTCTTTCTCTTGCTGAATTTATTAGTTTTTGTTCAATGTCAGTCATGGCTCCATTTTTTCCAAAAGAGGTACTTTATTACAATTATTTCAATTATATGAGTTCATTCTAATTTTGTCACAAAGTAATGGTTGTATCTTTATAGGCTGCTTTAAAAGGAATGAGTACCTCTGTCTCAGGATTCGTATTTAGTTTTTATGCATTAGTAGTTTTTGCAACAGCTCCAGTTTTTGGTAAAATTGTAAGTATTTTGTGATTTAATATAAAATCCATGTTTACAAATGCTTCTATTGTATCCATAAAATTAAACCCTCTTTAACTAGAATATCTATAAAGAAAAATTATATCTTATAAAAACAAAATTGTATTATATGTTGTTATCAATATGAACACTAATAATTATCTAGCTTAAAAACTTCCTAAGAGTTTGTTTTCTTGGGACCTTCATATCAGTGAATTATCTCATCCTTATCTTCTCTGCATTTAATGTTATCATTTGTTGGTAGGAACGAGCTATAGTTGTAAACAAAATAATTTATGTTGATAATTTGTTTAATGTCCCTATGATCTCTAATTAAGGCAAGAATCGTATATTATCCATAAGGTTACCAACTCATTTACTCGACATTTACAGATCAAAATCAATTAAATATCGGCTTCAGGCTTGATCCTTCTGAAAAGCTTTTTCAATAGACTCAAACACCAAGCCTCATTTTATTAGGTATCATCAGAAAGTATTTCAATTAATGCTGATAAATAATTACAATATTTTTCTTAATAACTTGAGATGATTATTTTAGAAATCAATGCATCTGTTTTACAAAATGTTTTTAATTTAATTTTTCAAAAGATCTCAATGTAAAACATTACCTAGCAAAGTTATATTCACCAAAATTGTCTCAATATATTGTAAAAGTGGGCTAAAAATCATGGGGTCATATACGTCCATAGGGTACGTTTTGATGTCTCCTATAAAATTTTTGAAATAGATTTTAGAATTATCCACTTCATTTGATAATGTTCCATTTGCAGTATTTTTATTATTTAATAGTACCATAGACCCTCATTATAACTCAGGCCTAGCCCAAATCCTGATCTCTGATTAGTCTTGTTTTTCCTTTCCCTCTGATGATAATATTATTTTTGTTTTCCTACACTCCACAAAAAAAAAAAAAAAAAAAAAAAAAAAAGAAAGGATTAAGTACATTCACTGCATATTTCCTATTTTCCACTTTTTAGTCATGTCTTTCATATTCAACTTGCTTTCAAGTTCAATTCTTCTTTTATATTTGATGATTTTTGCTAAAGACCATTCATAGCAAGAGAAATACATCCTAAATTGAAATAAAAGCCATAATTGCATTCCATTTATCAGTAACTTTTAGAAAATAAGAATCAAAGAATATAAGTTTAAAATAGTTCAAATTTTCAATTTAACTATATGGTTAGTAAAATGTGAAGCATTGTTTTCGGGTGTAACCTAGGTAACTTCAAGTCATGCATCGCTGATTTAGACTTATTTTTGGTATTCTTTTAGTTTTGGGAGTTTGTTCTGTCTACAAGAAGGTGGTGGCCTCGTTCTTCTGTCCTTTAAATCATTGGCCAATTTTTCACCTGCAACCTAGGCAGGGGCCCTCACAAGGCATTATCAGCCAGAGCCAGTTGAAACTGCAATCTGTGCTTCCTTATGGGTAGCTAATTTTGTTACTGTAGGACAAACATGTTTGGTAGCTCTTTTCAGTTAGTGAGACAGAGAGAGATAGAGTGGTGTTGTTCACAGGGCTCGTGGGGTCGGTTCTGTAGAAGCTGGTGTTTGACTAATTACTTGGAGAACTGGAAGCACAGCTGTTTCGGGCCACAGCATAGTTTGACAATTCAGTTGTGGTATAAGCAGCAGATAGTAGATGAAAGCAAAGAGAAGTGCCAGTAAGATAGAAGAATGGTGCAATAGATGGCAGTGGCTGAGAACATAAGCTATACTTTTCCAAGAGAAGACAGAGAAGGCTAACCCTTTTTTTTTATGTTTTTCTCTACCTCGTCTTATAGGCTATACAGGATTTTCCCGGGTCAGAGGGCAAAGACAGAGAATTAAAATCCCCTCTGGCACTGGGAAACAAACTCGTACTTTTTAAAATCTTATAACTTTGGTTATCTGGTTACCATTCAACTCACAGTGCTGGTAACCAACGCACACACGTTAGTGCATTTGGCTACCCCGCCCCCTAAGGCTAATCCTATTAACCTGAAGAGGATATAGAAATATTGGGATATATAATCTTGGAGAAGATTTCACTCGAATGATGAAGGAGGATTACTATCCCCACTTCATGGAGTGGACAAGGTGGAAGAAAGTGATGGGCTTTATGCACTTCATCCTGGAGAGAGGGTGCCCACCAGAGAAGGAGGAAGAGGAAAGTGGGGAAGAATCAGCACCACAAAGACCAGCAAATATGGTGGAGCCTGAGGAGCAGTAAAAATGAGGAGCTGAAGGAGGAAAAGGAAAAAACCTGAAGGTCAGGGATGGTTGGAAACATTAGGAGGACAAAGTAGGTGTAGTCCCACCAGAAGATGCATGGCCATGTTCCACAGATTGCCCAGTTTTATTATTACTACACCAATCATGCAGATTACCCAAAATAAATGCTTAAATTCTGAACTATGTATTACTACACATATTTTGTATATAGATAGAAATCTGTCATGGTCCTAGCACAGTTCTATCTTGGGGGTCAAGAACCAGTTTCAGGAAGAAAACTTGACAAGGAAAGCAGTATTAGAAACACTGATGGTTAAATGACAAAAAATCTACAATAAGGTGGTGATCAGTGAAATTTAGAAAACAAATTAATTGTATAACTTCTAACAAGAATATTATATGATATGCCACCCCAGCCAAATCCCTACTACCTAGGCAACGCTGTCAGTAAATAAATAATTGTAAATATGGAACTGATTTTTTAAAAATTATATTTCTTTCTATGAATTCAACCTAAGGGTACTTTTTAATTCACAAATATCTTATTTTATTATTACCCATGAATGTTCTCCCAATGATTAATGTTGTACTCCCCCTCTCCCTACAGAGCATGTACCCCTATAATCAGTGGTTTAATTTCTCATTGTATAGTGTTTCTTTTGTACATTAGCTTAAACATTTAATTATTTTTCTCTCAGTATTTGTTTGTATATATTTGTATTTTCCTTAGTGTTTTTGTATATATTTGTATTTTCCTTAGTATTTTTGTAAATATTTATATTTTCCTCAGTTTTTTCTGCAATACAAATACATCTTTATTTTATCTGAATGCTGGCATCTAGATAGAAGTCTGGACTGATGTACAAAGTTTTTGGACTCTGCTATTATTCTAAGGGGACTTCAGTCCCAGAATAATTTTTTTTTTCATTCATTCAAACATGAATGGGCGAAATACAACTTGACTGCCCTCTTGTCAGACTTACTAACTTAGTTTTTTACTGCTTCATACATTTTTTCTTCACCCGGCTGGTAATAGTAAATAATGCATAAATACATGTAGTATTTTTTCATTTGATATAGTTTCAAACTTAAATATGTTACAAATATTTATAAAGTAAAAAGATAACTTCTAATGTAATATCTATTTACAATAACATGACTGAACCGATGTTTAGGAGTAGTCCTCCAACCTTAGGATTCCATAAGATATATTTTGTCATTAAAAGCTAAAAAAATTGTTCTCCATTTTATTGTTCTAGGGAATAATCATTACTGTAACAATTTCCTAGGACAATATTGTGCAGTAATGATTCCAGATGGAACCCTGAAGATGGAGGAATAATATAAAAAGTCGGTTCAATAATGTTATTATCAATACAGACATTACATTAAAAGCTTTTTCTTCCAATTATCTATATTCATAGTAATATTTTTTATTCCATATCATTTCCACTTTAAAAAAAAATAAAAACTGATGTTCTCATGAACATGATACATGGCAGTAGTTAAACCAGAGTGGCTGCTGCCTTTATTATAACCGGATAGAATTAAACAGATGTGAAGAGCTTCATTCAAATGAGAGATATATGTTTTATGTTACTTATTTATTATATTACTTGAAAGTAATTTATAGATATAACATTTGTTCAAAGATGATTTTTAAGTGTTTTAGTTAGGCGTAGTAGCATTACATGAAAATCATTTAGTTTTTTTTTTTTGTTATTTAAATCTTCCTACATAAGAGTAATTTTTTACCATTGAACATAATTAATAATTATCATAACTTTAGTTTAACTACTCTCTATGAAAATAATTATTGTTCAAAAGAAAGCTATTAGGTACCTTTTTCCATTTGTTCATTTGTCATTATTTTATTTAAAATTATTTATTATTTCCATTTTTAGTTGCCTTCAGTCGGTTCAAAGTTCTTATTTATGTCTGGGATGTTTCTAGCTGGAGGATGCAATATTCTTTTTGGGTAATAACAACTACCATTTCTCAAAACTAATATACTATGTAATGTATCTATATAATTCAATAATTATCTTAATTACTGTTTTTGTTTTTTTTCAGACTTTTGCCTTATATACATAATTATACTGTATTTACAATTTTTTGTTTCCTCATAAGAACTCTTGAGGCAGTGGGTGCTAGTGCTTATTCCACTGCAAGTTTTGTGTTTGTAGTTGAAATATTTCCTGATAACATCAGTGCAGTTTTGGTTTGTAACCTAGTGATGAATTGAAAAGACAATAATTATGTTTGGTTTTTATTTATTATTATAATTTTGTATATGATATTATATTACACAGGGAATTCTTGAGACTGCTATGGGCTTGGGAATGAGTGCTGGACCTGCTATTGGTGGCATGCTCTATGCTGTAATAATTTTTTTTTATTCATGTTATAATTAATTTTATTAATATGTCATTGATTTGTAAAACATTGCTTGTGACATGGAATCAATTTATAATTTCATTAAGAATTTTGGTTTGTATGAGCTTTGCTCATCTTCTCTCTTTGTAATTATAAAGCATGGTGTTTACAATTTTTTTAAAGGGTCTTAAAATTGTACAATTTATTTTTTCATTTCAGGAAATGATATCATCCCTAATTTATTTATTATACGGTTAATATAATAAAATTTCTTCAATTAATGCAAATAATATCAAACAAAATGCTCATATTAAAATTATAAAAAAAGACAAATAATATTAAATGAATTCTGGATAAATATAATATTATAAAGAAAGGTAAAAAAATCTAAAGTAATTAATATAATAAACTAATTAATTTATTAATAAACTAATTAATTCTATTTAAAGACACTGATGAATGGAAACTTCAAATCATTCAAAACTCAAAAATTAATAATGGTTAAAATTATATATATATATTTTTTTTAAATAATAATAAAAATGTTATTGCTATAAAATCAGATTAAAAAAATCTTACAATCATGGAATGGAAAAAAATCATAGATAAGATGGATAGCTTATTAGATGACAAAAGCACTTTTCATAAAATTATGATTGATTCGAGTGTAGAATTATTTAAAGTAAATAAATATGTCAGGGAGTGGGGTAGCTCAGTGGTAGGGCACTGAGCTTCCAATGCAAAGGTCCCAGGTTTGAACCCCGGCTCATGGCAGAAAATTTATTTATCTGTTTCATTGGCCGTGGGGCGACCCTGGGTCAGGAAGCCCTATAAAATGGGTACCCTTAATTAAATAATTAATTAAGGGAGAAAACCTGGCGGGTTGAACGTGATCTCGGTCAAATCATCTCCTTACACAAGCGTTGACCTAGAAACAACAGTACTTTTCCTAAATAGTACTGAACCCCAGACCCTTCATGGGTTGTAGTGGTACAGGTTTTTTTTTTTTTTTTTTTTTAAATAAATATGTCAAAAAACTGCAAAAATATGGGTACATTGACAAATATACTTAAAATTAAATAAACCACTAATAAGTACATATATCTTCGAATACATAGTCTAATTAAGCTGTACAGTACTCACGTTTATTAAAATGAATACGCTTAAATTTACAGAAGTTCATGGAAATATTTTCACACTATCTTATGAATGAAAACTCTTATTTATTAAATAAATATTAATTGATTTGTTAATTTAGATATTTTCCAATATAAAACAAAAAAAGTATGCAAAAATTAAAATAAAGTTCTGCACAGTAACGGGTTTATTAAATATATCTCTTAAAAAATGTTGAAATAATGTTAAAAAGTTGGTATTTGCTAACTCGAAATGATGTATACATAAACACTTAATTTTATTAAACATAAAATTATAATTATGAATATAGTAAGATCTGAGGAGGGTCCTAATTATGTAAACTAAAGTCAATTAAAGAAATTGAAAAAGTCGACTAGATGACTAAGCTAATGCCTTGAAGTACATACAGAAGTATTTTACCACGCTCTATGGTTCTATAATAGGAATTTGTTAATATTCAAATATAATTATATGTAGCAACATATCTTGAGATTTTATGATTAATTCATGAACATTCTTTAATTTTACGTGAAGATTTTATTACATTTCCCGTAGTAAATATGAAGTGATGAGTTCATCTCACTGACTCAAAACTTTTAATACAAATAAAACTATGAAACATATTCAGTTGGTTTATTGGTTAATGCAGGTCGGTCTCTCCACGCCCAGTGATATAATAATAGGCCTCTGGCTACAGATGCAAAGTACGCTTACAGCGTGCATAGCCCTCTTACCTTAAAATGCCCTTGGGCAATAAAAGGAAATAAAAAAAAATTATGTGTATATAACATTTATATATTGTTCTTTGTAATAAAGAAATTCCTGGGGGGTAGGAAAAAAAAAAAAAAAGTTGGTTTATTAATATATTTTCAAATACAACCATACACATACAAAAAATATATATTTACCATATATATTATTTTATTTTTTTTATAGTATTATATTCTTCGTTTTACTATATGTTATTTTAATGTGTTACAATGTATTTTGTTATGTTAATAATCACTCGTAATTTATGTACGTAATATAAATTCCCAAAATCTTTTTTTTGGGGTATCCATCGCCCCTTCCTCCTCCCTACCAAAATGGAAAATCTGTGTCTATGTTTCTTTTGGTGCACTGTTTACTTATGGGTTGCTGATGGCAATAAAGATAAGTTTAATGGAAGGTCAGGGTAGGCACGACATTCGAAACGATATCCTGGAAATTCCAGGGAGGAATATGGGTACACGGCAGCCTTATGATGAAACTAGGGATGGGGCAAGAGCCAAAGATTTTTGGTATAAGTCGTGCAATACTTCTACCACTTATTCTCTGGTTCTTTAGTCTTCTTCATTAGTGGAGGAACCCAAATGCTTCATAGTACAGGTAGTTATCCTTACTTACTAGCTGAGGAAAATCAGCCTCTGTGATGATGTAAAGTCCAGTTTCCCTCGGTAGTTTGGCCATTCTTATTGCTTTAAAATATTTATAAACAAATAAATATAATTTATTTATTTACATTTTTTGACTGAATGCCTCAACCAATCTTCTCTTCAATTATTTATATTTTGAATATCATCTGAAGTAAAAACTGGTTTTTATTCAGATCCTAATACAGGAATTGATCCGTATTCAAAAGTGATCATCTGAATGTTGCTAATCCTAATATTTACGTTACTATAAAAATAATTCAAACTCTCAGAAGGTTTCTTTATTTTAAACATAAATATTAGGATTGGAAACATTTAGTTGGCCACTTGTAAATACAGATAAATTTCTATAATAGAGATCTGGATAAAAATTACAGTTCACTTAGATGATAAATATTTGAAAAATCATTATTTAATGGTTTGCAATCATTTATTACAGTCAATTTATCTATAAACATGGGTACTTTTAGGAGATAGGATAGGATCAAATCACATAATTTTTTTTACACAACTTGAGGTAAATCTCAATTTATTTCGTAATAAACTTGATGAATGTGGACTTAAAAGCTTATTAAACAAGAAATTTTATTATAATAAAGTGAAATCCTAACCTACATGTATAAATATATATTTAAGAAATTTTTTTTAAAGTGGGGTATCTGTAATAAAGTTAGAGTGAAGAAAAAAAATTTGCAAATAATTAATGATTTTTTTTTTAACAGAACAGCTTAGTTTATTCACTCAAAATTCCTCTTTAAATGGTTTTGACAACGATAAACTGTTATTTTCATTTGAAGTAAATTTTATCTTGTTTCCAGTGAAGTAATTGTGAATTATTTGCATTAAATATTTCTTTAGTTATTGCTTCCTATTTTTGTTGAATAGGACTAATATTTCTTAACTAAAGAAATATGACTGCTATTAATTAAAAAAATACAAAACTTGAATTTCCTACTTTTTTCCTCAAAATTGGATCATTGTTTATATAAACTTTTTTTATCTCTCAAGATCTGCTATTACTCTTATAAGTATTAATTAACTATTGATTCACTGTAAACTAAACAAAATTTACTTTAGATGAAAATAGAGTTTGTCATTGTTAAAACCATTTAAAGAGAACTTTTGAGTGGCTAAACTAAGCTAAGTTCTGTTTTTAAAAACTAGAGAGGTCTTCCCTTACCACCTAAAGGCAGAGCAAACCCCATTGTGTATATATTTTAATCTAATCCTATCTAATACAGCAATGACAATCAGTAGCTTGCCTCTAAAAAACAGTAATGGTATGTCAGGCATGACAAAGAAAAAAATACCTAGAAGTATCTCTATTGTGGCATTATTTTAGACAAAATTCAAATAAATGTGCAGAAGGCCTCACAACCATGACCTTTTTAGCCTCCTTGTGATGTCAGGCATACAGGTAATGGCCATTCTTACCTGATTACTCTTACTATTTGCTGATTGTTATTTCCCTGTAAACTGTCATGAAATATTTTGTAGTGAGTCTGTACGTATTCGCGGTTCTTCTATTCTGTAAGAATACTTTTGGTATTCTTAGTTTAGTTAGTAAAGTTGCATTTGAAACAAACCGAAGTGCTTGTGTAATAAATAGAAATATATTTGATTGAAGTCTTTGTATGGGTGTCTTTTTGGCTGAACTGAAAATTTGAGGAGGGTAAGACTGGTTGGAAAAGGTTTTAGAGAATATGATGATGATTGATTGGCAAGAAATTATTGACTTTGGCTATTTCTCAATTTTAAATTTATAAATTAATGATGTTACCATATTTTCAATCATAGTTTTTAATGTTTATCTTAATTATAAATTTTACAACTGTGTTAAATTTTTTATTTAATATTTAATTATAATTTTATTTTTTAATGTTGATGTTGAATGTTTTATTTTAGAATTTGGAATTGTAAATAATCAAGTCTGTCTGAAACATTGTCCAATATTATGAATAAGGAATCTGAAGTATGAAGATTGATATTATTTCCTGAAATTTCCAAAAAGTTGGTTACTTTTACACCCTTTAAAAAAAAAGGAGAATGCTATACTTTATTGCATGATTTAATTTAGTTAAAGGTTACAATAACTTAAAAAGTTAAAATATTAAATGTGTAAATGAACTAATTTGTGTAAAATGCAAAAATGGTTATCCAAAAGTCAGTCTTATTTCTGAAATCTAATAATTTAAGGTCAACAATTAATTAATACTTTTTACAAGAAATTAAAATTGAATGATTTTTATATGCAGGTTGGAGGCTTTGGTTTACCATTTTATTCATTAGGATTTCTCATGATTCTTTTGATCCCGACTAACTGGAATATGATTCCATCTATAAACGGTAAATAATTTTATGACTGAATTTATATCAATTGAATATATTTACTAATATCAATGGTGATTAATATTTTTTATAGGTTCTAGTAAAGGTACACATCATGCCTCATTTGGAAAACTATTTAAAATTCCTGCTGTCTCTATAATAGGGTCTATTATTGTTGTTGCTTCAAATACATGGTCATTTTTGGATCCTACTTTAGAACCTCATTTAAGTAGAGTAAGTAGTTGATTGTTAACAAATCACTATTTTAGTTTGACAAGGTTATAAATATTTTTGAGCTAAAATAAGATTATTTGTGCTTCAGAGTATCCTTTAAGATTAAATGTATTTTTTTATATAAAAAAATGTAAAAAGTCTCTATCAATTTCATTTTGTCTGTGGCAATGTTTTAACTGCATTTCAATATACACTGACAGGCAAAAAATTCCACCCACTTGTTACCCATTAAGGAACCACGTTGGAAAGGTTGGCTCTGGGAAAAATTACAGGCTGCATATCTTTCGTTTCTTCTACTCCACACCCTTTCACGTCCGTCTGGAGATCGAAGAGCGAATCTTGACTCATCTGTAAAAAGTACAGCACTCCATTTGTCCATAGTCCAATGGCTGTGTTCTCGAGCAAAAGCCAGCGGTGTTACTCTGTGAGTTCTGGTCAACTCTGGTCCTCTTACTGGACGAAAAGCCATCAATCCATACTCATTTAATCTTCTCCGAGCGGTACGTTCAGAAATTTGCACACCTCGAACTTGTTCAAGCGATTCATCAGCTCGAACAAGTGTATTTTACGAAACCGTCACGGTAAGGTGACGGTTTCGTAAAATTCTTAAAGTCAATAACCGGTCATCCCGTGGTTCTGTTACCCTAGGCCATCCAGAACCGGGCCTTCTATTGTAAGAACCAGTTTCCCGAAAACGCCTGACAGCGTCTTGTAAAGTTTCATATAAAGTTATATGAAGTTTCATAAGTAATTTTTCATTGAAACATCTTTAAAAATTAAATTACTTCCATTTAACGATATTAGGGCAAAGTTGATAAATTTTATTAATAAAGTGACAATTTATCAATTGTTTATACTCTTTATTTTTTTATTTTAATTTATGACCGCAACCCCGGACCATCTCCTTCCTTTATAATGTAACGGTCAACTATTAAATATTCTTTATTTTTTTAATTAGAACCTTGTCAAATTAATAACACATTGCTAGCTATACTTTGTTAAAGCTTTCCAAAGAATGCAGTAGTAAGGCATTTGGACATCGATAAATATTTTACTTCATGAAAAATTCAAATCAGTTTGCATTTTAGAATTTTTAGTAAATCACCAAATTTATTTCCACCTTAATCCTTCATAGGACAGAACTACATTAATTGGAATTTGAAAAAAAAAATAGTGAAACAGTTTTAGGAACTCTTTTTCATTATAAAAATAAATATTATTTACTTATAAAAAATTTATACTAGCTGATATGGGGTTGGACATATTTGTCCCATTGCGTGTGCATAAAAAAATGAACTCCTTTTATAATATTTTATGAGACAATATGGAGAACAAAAAATAATAAATTCACAAAAACAAGTTTTACTGTTGAAAACAAGATATAAAATAAAAACAATTGTAAAAAATATTAAAATTGTATATTAATCATAAAATTAGATACATCTAGTATTAATATTAAATTCTAGAGCTCATTTTCTTGTATCTACAACTATTTCTTATTATATGACAATGAAAAAAAAAAACAGAAATCTCAAAGAGCCTAAATAATATATTTTAATTATTTATTAAAAAAATAAATAACAATTTATGAAAATGCCATTTAAAGATTTAAATAATGACAAAATGTAGATATATAACTAGAAAAAGGATATAATACTAGTTACATAAGTAAATACGATTTTTTAAAGTTTCATGCTACATTGAAAAAAAATTTCAATCTCTAATGAAATATTTGCAGTATGATCAATTTGTGACTTTAATATATTTTAAGTTAGATAATATATTTGATTATAGAATAGTTTAACATTTGGGACAATGTAATTAACTAGGAGCTTGGTAGACTGCATTGATGTGCACTCAATGTCCTTCTGAGACTTAAGGGTAGAACAGAGAGTATGTCATAAAACAGTCCATTTAAACTTCATCCATCGAATGGGAAGACTTTTGTGCTGAAGCTTCCCTACTCAAAATAGAAAAAAAAAATTTTCATTGGTCCATATTCGTTTCTGAGAGTGATCTCAAATGTTCAAATAATCATAATATATTCTCTTTTTTAATTATAACATGTATGCAACTACTAAATTTAAGCACTATGGCAAGAAAAAAAGTTATCTCTTAAAGCATTATTTATTGTAATCCAATAAAAGCTGAAATTACTCTTTTATTATTATTATTTTCTAACTGGCCATCAAGGACCACTTAAAAATCAGTTTGTGTAGATCCTTTTTTTTCTTCATTATTATAAAAAAAAAAGGCCCCATCCAAATTTCAATCCTGAAGCTACTACTGCACTTCACATAGTAAAATTTATTACTATTGATTAATATATTATTTGATCTAACAATTTCCCTCACATTTTTACTGATGACACCATTGTTTTTTTATCTATATATTAAAAATAATTATGCTCAACTATCAATGAAAGTCTTCTAAATTCCTGACAATTGCCTTCCTTTTCCATGACTATTACATAACTGGAATTATCTGCTTGTGGTTTGTCTGTTTAGATTTTTGTCAAATATTTACTATGTGGTCTATTTATATTATATTTACTATTTTTATGACTAACTTTAATTTTTAAAGCTATTTTATTGAAATAAATATGTATTTTTACTTCTGGACATTGTTATTAGCTGAATCTCTCAAGTTACCATATTGGATTGATATTTCTTTTGTTTGCTGCTCTATATGGTATCTTCAGCCCCCTTTGGGGATGGGCTGCGGATAAATTGGATAACCATTGGAGTATGATGGTTATTGGCTTGTTGTTATCAGCTGTTGGCCTACTAATGTTGGGACCATCTCCTTTATTAGAAATGGAAACGTAAATATTTATTCTTTTCATTTAATATTTTACTATCTTAAATTTCACAATTTAAATCCTAACTATATTTTCATATTTCAGATCTCTTTTGATGGACATACTAGGTTTGTGTATAATCGGAATATCAGTAGCTTTGACATTAATGCCTACATTTAAAGCAATACTGAAATGTGCTGAGTAAGTAACATGTTGAATACATGAAGTTATTATGATCAAATTCTTAAAAAACTATAATTTGAATCTCAGATAGAAATTCCATTTATTCTCTCTATGCAGTTACCAGTAGATATCTATGTGCTCTGCCCACTATTGATAGAACTGTACCAGTAAGTTTCTCATAAGAATTTGTCTGTACTACTAATGGGTGTATTCAGAGCAATAAGAAGGGGCAGCTGCCTCCCTCCTTTCATGTGGATACATTTTTAAAGAAATAAGTAATAAGTAGAAAAAACGAATTTCTGAAAAATTGATTAAAAGGAACAGATTTTGTGTTAGTATTTCACTATTCTAAAAGGAACTAATTCGAAATTAAAGACTGATTATCCCAAATTTTAAATTAATTACCCCACTTCTGAACATTTTTCTTAACCTCCCTTCAGGCAAACTCTTTGGCTATCACTAGAGACTGGATCTTCATGCAATAAAAATCCGAAAAACGTGCAGCAAAAAATAGTCCTATACAGACCTTTTTTTATCAAGTTATGAACATCTGCCTAAAACTTTCTAACTAGCTTTATCTCATCGTAATCCACAAATATTTTCTTCACGAAAAATCTCTGAACTGTGGCATTTACAACCTGATGGTCGGCGATCTTTGTCTATATATTGAGTAATAAAAACTCATAAATATTCATTTGCTTTTCACGTGAATCGTAAGATAATTTGAGCCCAAAGTCGAATAAAAAGGCGGCCTTCAAAAATATTGAGCCGTTTGGCCTATATAATCTCGTTATTTTGACAATTTGAAGGTGTGGGTCACGCCAAACGGTTTAATATTTTTGAAGGTCACCCTTATTTTCGGCTTTGGGTTCAAATTATCTCAGGATTCAAGTGAAAAACAAATGGGTATTTACGAGTTTTTAGTACCTAATTAAAAAGACAAAGTTCCTATCCTCCAGATGTTTAATTTTAGGACGTTTCCCGTTACTGTTGGCCGTTTGATTACAAACGATGCTTGATTTTCAATTTGAAAATTTGTTTTTTGAAAAAATTGACTTTACTGGTGTTTTTTTTATTGTCTAAGCCATTTATTTTCTAATATTGTTTCATGTTTTATTATTCTCTGACTATTCAGATTTAATAAAAGTACAATTATGACGAAATTAAACCAAATGCTGATTCTCAGTGACCAAAAAACTAACTCAAGTCAAAGTCGCCAGTCCGCCATCTTTGGACTTCATTTTGGGGTAGTGCATTCACTTTTTTCGTGGAAACATTGGCATTTTTTAAATAAATAATTACAAGGAACAAAATGATATGGAATTTATATGGATATGAGGAGGGGGAGGGGGCGGAGAGAAGTGGACGGTAGGGGGTTTTATCCCATCGTGTATACCTAGGCATTTGCTGGAGCGCCTCAGCATTTACCAAGTCACGTCCAGGAGTATTTCGTAAAAGAAATACTTTTTTATTATTACTTCCTTTATTCTATACGAAAATTTTCAAATTTATCATTATTATTTTTTAATTTAACTTTCTTTATAATATACGCAGGTTGTTTAAGAATGCTTCTATTGTAAAAATTGTATAATTATAATAATAAAACTTAATTCAAAAATACTTCCCTGAAAATCTTGAATTTTTTATTTAACGTTTGGAATTTAATACTTTGTTTTGAATATTTACTGATTCTTAGAGGTAAGTTAAATTGTATATACTTTCCCGAAAATAAATCATATCAATACCTGTTTTATAAACTAAAAATAATTAATCTGAATTACATATAATGAATAGCTGCCGGTTTGTTTAATAAAACTCATATATAACTATTAAAAAAATAATTTAATTTTTTTATTTCCTATGTTTTGTTCGGAGATTGGGCCATATCATAAAGAAATGGGAGATTTTAATATTGAATGCTTTATTCTGTCAACTCAAAGAAAGGATGGAAAGAGCGAAGCTCTATGTTCTTCTTGGTAACCGGAAGTAGTTGTTAGTATTTAGTATCAAAATGAGGGAACACCGCGAAATTGAATAAAAAAATTGGAAAAACACACCAAGCGAACAAAGAAGGAATTGTCAAAATCTCGGTAAAGAAAAAGGGAAGTAGCTCTCCCTTTATTTAGTGATTTTGGAAAAGATGTTTGAAGTGATGAGAAAGCAAAACATACAAAGAGCTTTTCTGAAGGGTAAGTAGATATTTGCACAATCCCAAGTGTGAGGCACTAAGCAGATAGTGTTATTTCCCTTTGTCGATGGACTTATCTATAACCTTCCTTAATGTGAAGATATTCCCAATGTGCAATTTGAGTTTCTCAATCCATATCGCTCTGGCAATCGACAATATTTCTTATTCTAGCTTCTACAATTCTCGAATAGAGCTTCTTTGGCATAGTGAACAGGAATGAATCTCGATGGGTATTAAATTTATTGATATCTCCTTGCTTATAAAGGGATAAAACTACAGTTCTATCAAATCATTTTCTAATGCAGATCACGGGCGAATCTACGGGGAGACTTTCGGGCTGAAGCCCCCCCCCCCCCAAAATGGAAAAATATAACCATGTTTTATGGGAAATTTTTTTAAAAAATACCTCTTAAAGTATTATTGTTAATCTAATTACATCTAAAATCACTTAAGGAATCACTTAAACACCATTTCATATAGGTAGTTAGTTTCTTTCTGTTTTTCCAAAGTAATTATCGTTATTTTTATGAAAAAAAAAAAAGGTTTCGGGCTGAAGCCCCCCCCAAAATTAAATTCTGGATCCGCTAGTGATGCAGATTAATCAATATACATTGAAAATGTAAAAAAATATATCTTTACATTTGTTGCCTATGCACGGGCAGCATTTCAGGTTACTTCGTCCAAACCTAACGACTTGCCAATTGCTTCGAAATAATTTTTCTTTCTGAAAATGATCTTCACCATAATAAACCTCCATCGTCCACCTATCATTCAAACAGCCCCAGTATTTAATCTCCTTTTTGCATCTTCTTGAAATATTCTGTTCTGTCTATTATATATTCGTTTAGCTATATAATGGTTACTGATCCTTGTTTTCTTTATCGAGATTTTGGTAATTCCTTCCTCGTTCGCTTAATGTGTTTTTCCAATTTTTGGGTTCAATTTCGCGTTTTCCCTCATTTGGATACTAAATACTGACTACTTCCGGTTACCAAGAAGAACATACAGCTTCGCCCTTTCCACCCTTTCTTTGTGCCGAGAGAATAGAGCACGAAGTATTAAAATTTCCAATTTTTTTATGATATGGCCCAACCTTCGAACAAAATAAAGGAAATAAAAAAATTAAATTAATTTTTTTATTAGTTATATATGAGTTTTATTAAACAAACCGGCAGCTATTCATTATATGTAATTCAGATTAATTATTTTTAGTTTATAAAACAGATATTGATATGACTCATTTCCGGGAAAGTATATACAATTTAACTTACCTCTAAGAATCAGTAAATATTCAAAGCAAAGTATTAATTTCCATACGTTAAATAAAAAATTCAAGATTTTCAGCGAAATATTTTGGATCAAGTTTTAATATTATAATTATATCATTTTTACAATAGAAGCATTCTTTAACGATCTGCGTACAGAATAAAGGAAGTAATATAAAAAAAGATTATAAAGAAAATTAAATAAGAAATAGTTTACTTTTTTTTGGACTAGCCAATTATTCCATTAATAATTTTTCGTTAATATAATCAATATAGTGTACCAAAAACGTTATTATAGCACTATAACTATGCCATTTATGAGTGCTGAACGATGTGTGCAGAAGACTGTAGCCACTTACGCCAGTACCACTTTTCCGCCGATTAAGTGCATTTTCTACAAAACCACTTCAGATATTTAAAAAAGTTATCAGTATTTTATAAAGAAAAATATATTCTCCAGATCTTTTATTTTAGGACGTTTACCGTTATTGTTGACTGTTTGATTACAAACGATGTTTGGTTTTCAACTTGAAAATTTGTTTTTTGTAAAAATTGACTTTACTGGTGTTTTTTATTGCCTAAGCCAATTGTTTTCTAATATTGTTTCATGTTTTATTATTTAATGTATTAAAATAATTAATTATAGCCTATCAATGAAGCAATTATAATAAAGAAATGTTAAATGAAATAAAATTTAAATATTACATATTATAAATTATCCCAAGAAATAAATTTAATTTTTTTGGGGGATGACGTTATTGCTCTGGGCGCCGAATGTCTATGGCTGCCATATATATCAAATGAAATATAAATAAATATAACGGTCTTCATTATCAGTGGCACTCTTGTTGGACTAGAAATATTTCGTGAAACTTACTAATTTATTATAATCAAATAAACCAATGAAATATAAATACAGTCGTAAAAGGAAATGTCTAGTGTCAAACAAAATAAATATTATACATTAGACTGCTATGAAAAACATATTATAATTAATTGTTTTAAATAATGTTTCGTACCGTCTGTAATTTTTACTTTCTCTTCCCTTCATCTGAAAATGCTTATTTCTGCTCCGGTGGTAAGAGAAAGTTGTGTGATGGACGCACCGCGCCAATTTAAAAACAAATATTTATGCTAGGACTTGTGTACAGATGCAAGCCACTTATTTTATTGCAAGGAACCTGTAACTGAATGGAAGACACTGAATTATTAAACAAGTTTCAGTATCATAGACGTCAAAATCACTAACCTATGTGTGTTTAAAGTTTAAACGTTTAACCTTTAATTTTAAACTTTAAACGCATATATGATGGTATATTCCGTCCTTGAGAGCAGGTAGGTTTTTTCCCCGTAGATTGTGTATTTCAAGCTTTTTAATTTTTATAAAGTATTGACTATGTATATTCATTACATGTGATCATGAACTTGCACTTGATATAATATGAAATCAACAAAAAACTGGAATACTTGAAATATAATGCTTGGAAACATTGCCGGAGTCTCGCTGAGTAATTTGAGCATCACAGTTGAAGATCGGTTGAGCCGAATCATCAGATAAATATAATAATTTGAAATTATTTGTAGATGAAAAGATTGAGAGTGGTGGCCGAGCGGGCTAACGCGACTTCACAGCACTGCGCGTTGCCCGGCAACCTGTTAACTCAAGTTAGACATAGAAAAATAAATAAGAGTTCAAATCCCGGTGCCCGGTGGGATTTTTATGTAGGCATAATTTCCCTTCCCTCTCTCCCGGCGCGGGAAAACCCCCGTGTACCCTAAAAGGCAAGGAAGGGGATCACACACACGAAAATAATAATAATGAAAAGATGAAAAAATTGATCAATTATAAATTAGGTTTTGTGATTATCATTTAATATGAATGGTTCATATCTTATAGTATCCTTGCTTTTTTGACATTGAGTTTTCTTCTAAGTATCATTACTCATTTACTCGAAATTCCCAGAGTACAATGCCTCTTACAAAGCTGATCGATCTTTGAGTACAAAGCTGACCTGTGCTGACCATTGCTACGCCTCTTAACTGCTCACCTCACCTCAGCTTCTGGTGGCCGTCCTCTCATTGAAAACCTTTGGTTCGGTTTTGGAAGCTGACTCAGCTTAGCTGTGGATTCGGTGGCAGGTCGGCCGTATCCACTACCGGGGACTGCAAGTTCCACATCTATGGTCTATTATTTATGTTTTTTAAACAAAAATGGCAATATTAATTAAGGGGTAAGCTAGTAAAAATTCAGAAAGAGGACGGAAATTTAATGTTAGGTTATAATTGGAAAATTTCGAACTAAACAGCCTTATATCTCATAAATGCAGTTAAAGAATAAAATAACCCATCTAATAATATAATTAGTATGCGTTTAGATCTTATGGAATGATGCGATCTTGGATTTGCTCTATTTCATGTCCTGATGATGCCTGAAATGGTGAAACGCTGACGGGTTATTTTCTGGTTGGAAGTTTTCCATTTAAAATATAAAAATTGCATTATTTAAAAACTTCTTTAGTTTCCCAAATTTTCGAATTTACTATTGATACGTATTGTCCTAATGGTGTTGCTTAGCCATTCTGGTATATTTCGTCAATGGAATGTGTGCGTTTGGCGGCGCTCAACATTTTCGGGGGACTATCTCTCCCTAAATTTCCTTCTGGGATAATATTTATGTTTCTACCTTAATATTTTATTATCTAGTATATTTTACTGATTTAATAAACACTATATTTTACTGATTTCAGGGAAAATGGTTTGAGGAGAGAATTGACAACATACAGTATAGTTGCTGGAGTTTGGTCCTGCATGTACTCTTTAGGGTGAATTACTATTTCGATAATTTTTTTTATACTATAAAATCTTTATGTGAGCAATATTATCTCCTAACTTAATTCAGTTTCTGACTAACAAGTACATAAGTAGTTATGTTAACAATTGTACTTGAAAACTTGAGATTAGCATTGAATTATGTTATTCACATAAGTTTATATATCAGTGTGTATTTTAATGAAGCTAAATTTGTATTTTATGAAATCATCAATTGTGATTTGAATTTATTTATGTTTATTTTAAGAACTACATGTTCCGGGAGAAGTAACAAAAACAAAAACATGAAATAAATTCGGAGTACTTATTTAATGTCGACTTTTTAGACCACATCGTAGTTCTTCATTAGGGCTAAAAAAAAGGTACAAAAAATTGAAACTATTTTAGGATTTAAAAAAAAACCTAGTGCGCGGATCACATCACTCTATTTTCAATAGAAATTATTTTCTGGCAAATTTGGGCTATCACAAAAAGTTTTTGAAATGTATGTTAAACGGAGCTATGCCTTAAAGGACAAATGTGTGAATTTTGGTTGTCAATTATAGGCGTAGACTAAAAAAAAAAAAGTTTTTATTATGTGTAAAAATTCTAAAAGTATTGTAATACGAACAAATATATTTAAAATTAGGATTTTTTTTTTACTTATTATATATACTTGAAAATATCTTTAAAAAAAAATACAATTGGATATATAGCGTATTTGTTTAGATTAAACATAGGGGAGAGGAGAAACAGCCTCCATAACATTGGTATATTTCTAGAACTTTTTGAGCTAAGAATGAGTGATGTAAAAAATTAAAAAATATTTTTGATTTCTTAGTGTGTACAACCTCAAATAAAAATACAACATTGTTCACAGTCCGACTAGTCCGCAGCGGAAAATGTGAATATCAAATGAAAATTGAGGGCTGATTGAATCATAAAACCCTGGGATGTGTTGACATGAATATTTAAACAAGCTATAGTAGACCGACCTCAAGAGCTATAAAAAAAGTTCATATAAACAATGGTCCGATTTTTGGAAGAATAGTAGCAAATGTAAGTTTTGTGTTTTTTTAACTAAGTCGTGGCGTTTCATGAATAGGAAGCGATAACTAAAATATAATTTTTTAAATTTATTTATTCTTTATTATTGAAATTCACAACTGCATAAATGATAAATACAGCAAGTAAATTTGAATAAGTAACATGACAGGTACAACATGAAAAGAAACTACCCATTGGTAGCACACCAATTATATTTCTATATTAAAAGGTCCCGAGGCCATCTTCTTTTCAGACGCCTCGGAGGGTTATCAGAGATAGAAGAGTAAGCAAGGTTGGAAACAAGAGGGTTCGGATAGTTCAGAAGTTTATTATGGAAGGATAGGTATCTGGATTGAGCTAAATCGGAAACATACGGTACATTAAAGTCGTTATGGATGATTTTATTTGAGACAAAGTAGGGAGCATTGAGCATTTTACGAAGGCTTTGGGATTGTAGGGTTTGGATACGAGAGGAATTTGATGGTTTAGTAGATCCTGAAAGCTCGATCCCGTAAATCGAAATAGGCCTTATTATAGTAATATATATGAGTTTTTTGTAAATAGTTTTAAGTTTAGAGCGTTTGTCTAGTAAGTGCTGCAGTAGTCGAAAACTGTGGTTCAAGTAGAAATCGGTGGTTTCTAGTCGTTTCAGTCTTGTATGGGGTTAAAATATAATTAAATAAAAAATTTACTAACTATAAACTAGACAAAATTTACTTCAAACGAATCCTGATGGAATTTGACTTTTGAGTGGATAAACTAAGCTCACTTTTGTTTAAAAAAAAAAATGAATTACTTGCGATTTTGTTTCTACATTACAGATACCACACTTTATGAATTTTTCTTAAATATATACTTATACTTGCAGGCTAGGATTTTACTTTATTATAATGAAATTTCTTGTTTAATAACTTCAAGTCTATATTCATCAAGTTTATTACGAAATAAATTGAGATTCACCTCAAGTTGTGTAAGATGATAATGTGTCCTGTCATCTTAATGTGTTTTCAGCAAAAATGACTCCAATAATTTGTTGCAAAGCTTTAACTTATTTTCCCTTTATCTGGAATGTATTATATAAACATGAATTCGTAAATATACTTTTTATTTATTACAAAAAGAGTTAAAAATAATGAATTTTCAAATATTAATTATTTAAAATGATGGATGAACTGTATTTTTTATTAAGCTCTATATTATAGAAATCTATCACTATTTATAAGTGGTCAATTAAATGTTTCCAATCCTAATATTTACGATTTCATGAAAATAATTCAAGCAATCAGCGAGCTTCTTTATTTTACACGTACATATTAGGATTGGACACTTAATTGGTCGCTTATAAATTTATTTATAAGTATTAATAAATTTTTTATTGTAGTTAATAAAAACTGTATTTATTAATTTATGTTTATGATAATATTACCCATGTTATGAGGAAAAATACAATTAAACAATGAGGAAAAATTAAAGCTTTGCAATAATTTATTGTATTCATTTTTGTTCCAAACAAAAAATGGCGGGAGTTTTTATTATGTATTAAAATTCAACATAATCATTGTGAAAGAAACAAATATAATATTGAGTGTTTATAATTAATTTGTTTATATTTTTGTATAATTTTAGGAATATTTATTTTATTTTTTGCTTATTATATTTACTTGAACACATCTAAAAAATAAAACTTGAATATATATATCAACTAAAGGTGGACATGACAATCGTGATACATTTTATTATGAGTAAACACATGTAATTCGCATAAGAAGTGAAATAGACAGACTTGAAAATGGCTCGACGAGCCGAAACGTCGTAATAAGTAGTCGTTAAGTTGACCAAATTAAACATTGGTGTAAAGTGGCTTAAAATAAATAAATTGGAAACGATATATATATTATTAACTTTGAATATAAATGAATGTTTTAAAAAGAGTAAAATTTAGGTATCAATAAAATATTTACATATCTACTACTAGGCCCTAACCTAGCCAGCTAGTCGACTTTTCTTAATCGATTTCAGTTTACACATTTTATTAATTCATATAGTTTATTTATTATTAATTATATATTCTTTTAGCTCAAATTATTGGGGAGAAGGGGCAATCGCCCCCTCTCCCCCGCAATCTGCGCCTATATTCCAAACACGAGTACTTTAAGGTGACAGGATATCAAAACTCCTCATTTACACAACTTGAGGTAAATCTCAACTTATTCGTATGAACTTAAATCTTATTAAACAAGAAAGATTTCCAAAAGTGGGGTGTCTATAGTATAGTCGGACGCTGATAAATAAAAATCGCGAAAAATTCATGATTTTTTTGTTTTTATCACAATATAGCTTAGTTTATTCGCACAAAATTCCTCTTTAAATGGTTTTAATAATATCAAATTCTACTTTCGTTTGAAGAAAATTTTGTCTAGTTTACAGTGAAGCAATTGTTAATTAATTGTATTAAACTATTGCTTCATATTCATCAAAAACCATAACTTACTTTAAAAAACTCAAAACTTAACTTGGCTACTATCTACCGAAAATCGGACAATTGTTTGTAAGAAGTTTATGATAGGCCTAAAGGTCTACTCTTAGCTGTTTAAATATTTCCATCTACTTACGAGAAACCTCTATAATCGTTAAGGTATTGAGTGTTAGTTCTCAATAAAAATGGTAAGAGTTGAAAAATAATGGTACTGAAAAAGTATCGGTACCAACGTAATGAAAATAATAAATCGAATAAAAGCGTGAAGAGGATTAAATAAGGGATTAGTTAATAATAAATCTATAGTTAATTTATATTTAGTTCAGTAATAAAATATTTTTAGTTATTTTTAATGCTAAAAGAGTTTCACATTTTGGATCTTTCTTTTTAGCCCTGATGAAAAACTATACTGTGTTTCAAAATTTCGGCATCGAATAAATTCTCACAATTTATTTGTTTTTCAATTTTACCGATTCCCGGACCATGTCCTTCTTGCATTTTCATACGGTCAATTATGTGATTATATTATATTTATTTCAATTTACAGTGATATGACTGGACCAGCTTTAGGTGGAGTTCTATCTGAATATTTCGGCTTTCCCGTCTGCACAACAGTCATGGCCATTTTATCAATAGCTACTGTAAGTTAGTTATGTTTTATTATCTCCAATTTAATTTTATCTTAAGTTAATAAATGGTTAATAATATTAAGGTAGTTTTAATTTTAAGATATGATGTCTGTGGTGGAAGAATGTGGCCAATTTGATTTTTTTTTAATACCTCCTCCCACTGGAGGCACCACCATTAAAAAAAAAAAACTGGTGCACCCAATACACTACTCTCACTTACCGCTCTACTTTGAATAGAAATTATTTTCTGGCAATATTTAGGTATTGTAACATTTTTGAAGTGAATTTTTAATGTAGCTACTGTTTTTTTTTTTATTGAGAAATATTACAATATTTCTCAGTTAAGGGCAGTTATAATAGAGTTCAGAGAATACGTTCACAACAGATATATAGAAGCAGAAATAAATAAAGTAACAAAAAAAAATAATACATATAAATAAGAACAAAATAAAATGTTATGAGTAATATATATATATATATATATATATATATATATTATATATATATATATATATATATATATATATATATATATATATACACATATGCATACCTATATATATTTTTAGACGGACAATTTCTACCCTCAAACTATTCCATCGCTTCCGCCATCTCCTACCTCAACATACGCGTAGACTCCTCGTTTCCTCTCTCATCTTCCCCCACTTTCACTACAGCTGTATGGTGTATGATGGACTTTCGGTGGAGCTCCGTGACAGACTGAAAAGATTAATGAACAGTTGCGTGAGATTTGTAATTGGTGCCCCGAGATACTACCATGTCTCTCACCACTACACTGAGTTAGAGTGGCTCTTCCCCTCCATTCGAAGACAATATTTCCTAGGTACATTCCTCTATCATATCATCAACAATCATCGTCCTTCCTACGCCTACAACCTTCTCCAATTCAAGTCCTCAGTCTACTTCCTCTCCACAAGATCTCGACCTTCCGACCTTTACATTCCTTCTCACAGATCTGCCTCGTTCCAAAACTCCTTTATTGCTCGCTCTGTTAGTTTTTGGAATTCCCTTCCTATCAAAATTCGACATTCTTCATCCATATCTACATTCAAAACCCTTCTATTCCAATTCCTATCCCAAAAACAGTCAGATACCAGCTAACCTTTTATCTACATTGACCTGTAGTCCAATTCGCTCTGCTTCTTTTAATAGAGTCCGAGCGAGTCTCTCAATATCCTCTTGATTACTTCCGAGGACAGCTATATCATCGGTATATGCTAGGATTTTATGTTTCATTCCAACGTGCACCCCTCCATCTTCGCCTGATGTTATTCTTATTAATTTCTCTAGTGCTAAGTTGAACAGCATCGGCGAGAGTCCATCTCCCTGCCTCAAACCCGTTCGAACTTCAAAGGCTTCAGATACATCTCCTTGTATTAGTACCCTGCATTTAGGATCATTTGTACACGCCTTCGTCAACCTCACTTATTTCCCGGGAACACCCAGCTCAGTCATGATCTGTATGGACAGTTTCTGTCAACGGAGTCATAGGCTGATATGTATATAGAATAGAAAATAATTTTACTCTGGGACGAAGTCCCTTCAGAATAACAAAAAAGTACAGAAATTAAAATTTTATATCTGGCCAGATAAAAACAAACATAAAAAGTAAATATAAAGATAAATCAGTAAAAAAAAAAAAATATATATTAGTTATGCATACTATATACCAAATAAAATAAAATAATCTATATACAAAACTCTTGAAACCACACTAAGGTACTTAAAACTACGTACAATGGTAAAATATAAATAAACCCTTTTAGAAAAAATAAAAAATACAGAAAAAATAAATGTAAATTCTTTTTAACAGTAAAATCTGTGTTTCTGTTGAAAAAAAAAAAGAAAGTCGAATCTATAATAAGTATTTAAGTTATGAGCTTTAATATATGTGAATATATTAATAATAATAATAAAAGGCTTAGCGAACCCGAAGGTTCGATGCCGACACCACCAATCGCTTATTACACACCTCCCTCCACCGTTCGCCGTCCAATCCCAGTCCCTTCAGATCGGCTTTAATGCTATCTTCCCACCTTCGCTTCGGTCTACCCCTCGGACGCTTACCATTCGGCACAGCAAATATTAACCTTTTAGGAATTCTCTCGTTACTAAGCCCAACAACTTTACAAGCCCATTTGATTCGCCGCGATGAAATTACCTCAATTACATTACCCGGATACAGTTCACGCAATTCGGCGTTGTGTAACCGTCTGAACTCTCCGGTTACACAATACACAATCCGAATATTCTACGCAATACTTTATTTTCAAAAACCTTAAGACGCTGCTCATCCCTTAATGTAAAATTACATATTATCTATAATAATATATTCACATAGAAAAAACGAAATTGAAGAAGAGATTAAGGTTAGACTGAAGTCGGGAAATGCTTGTTATTTTTCTGTGACAAAACTACTCAGTTCGCGCCTCTTGTCCCGGAACTTAAAAATTAGAATCTATAAAACAATTATCTTGCCTACAGTTGTTTATGGATGCGAAACTTAGCCGCTTGCTTAAGGGATGACGAGAGAATTCCTAAAAGGTTAATATTTGCTGTGCCGAATGGTAAGCGTCCGAGGGGTAGACCGAAGCGAAGGTGGGAAGATTGCATTAAAGCCGATCTGAAGGGACTGGGTTTGGACGGCGAACGGTGGAGGGAGGTGTGTAATAAGAAGCGATTGGTGGTGTCGGCATCGAACCTTCGGGTTCGCTAAGCCTTTTATTATTATTATTAATATATTCACATATATTTAAGCTCATAACTTAAATACTTATTATATATTCGACTTTCTTTTTTTTCAACAGAAACACAGATTTTACTGTTAGAAGAATTTACATTTATTTTTTTTTGTATTTTTTATTTTTTCTAAAAGGGTTCACTAGCGGATCCAGGATTTATTTTTGGGGGGCTTCAGCCCGAAGGTTTTTTTTTTTTTATAAAAATAACGATAATTACTTAGGAAAAAAAGAAAGAAACTAACTACCGGTATGAAATGGTGTTTTAAGTTATTCCTCAACCCTTTTTAAATGTAGTTACACGAATAACAATAATTTAAGAGATACTTTTGTAATATTTTTTTCGATAAACCATGGTTATATTTTACCATTTTGGGGGGGGGCGTCAGCCCGAAAGACCTCCCCGTAGATCCGCCCGTGAAAGGGTTTATTTATATTTTACCATTGTACGTAGTTTTAAGTATCTTAGTATGGTTTCAAGAGTTTTGTATATAGATTATTTTATTTTATTTGGTATATAGTATGTATAACTAATATATTTTTTTTTTTTACTGATTTATCTTTATCTTTACTTTTTATGTTTGTTTTTATCTGGCCAGATATAAAATTTTAATTTCTGTACTTTTTTGTTATTCTGAAGGGACTTCGTCCCAGAATAAAATTATTTTCTATTCTATATACATATCAGCCTATGACTCCGTTGACAGAAACTGTCTCGGGAAGATCATGACTGAGCTGGGTGTTCCCGGGAAATAAGTGAGGTTGACGAAGGCGTGTACAAATGATCCTAAATGCAGGGTACTAGGAGATGTATCTAAAGGCTTTGAAGTTCGAACGGGTTTGAGGCAGGGAGATGGACTCTCGCCGATGCTGTTCAACTTAGCACTAGAGAAATTAATAAGAATAACATCACGCGAAGATGGAGGGGTGCACGTTGGGATGAAACATAAAATCCTAGCATATGCCGATGATATAGCTGTCCACGGAAGTAATCAAGAAGATATTGAGAGACTCGCTCGGACTCTATTAAAAGAAGCAGAGCGAATCGGACTATAGGTCAATGTAGATAAAACAAAATACATGATAGTTAGCCGAAACATCCACCCTAATAACATGATCTGCGTGGATTCTAAGTCATTCCCGAAAGTAGACAGATTCAAATACCTCGGCTCCACAATAACCTCAATAAATGATCAACTAACAGAGATAGACCAGCGAAGACCAAGTGCGAACAAATCTTTCTTCTCTCTTTCAAAGGTATTGAAATCCAGAAAAATCTCCAGAAATCTCAAAATAAGTAAGTACAACACCGTGATTAAGCCAGTTCTGCTGTACGGTTGTGAAACCTGGGCTCTAACCGGCACATTAGAAGCCAGAATTGAGAGATTCGAAAGAAAAGTTCTACGTAGGATAACAGGACCTATATGGGACCAGAAACTTGACATATGGAGAACTCCTGAAAGAAACGGGTCAGTCAATATCTCATGATATGAAGGTAAGGAGGTTAAGATGGGCAGGGCATGTAGCTCGTAGTAATCCATCAGGACGCCTCTACACGACAATGAATGCCAGAGTAGTAGGTAAGAGACCATGCAAGAGGCCAAAAACCAGATGGATAGATAGGATAAAACAAAGATATAGCTGAGCTTCATGCAGCAAACTGGAAAGCAGTAGCCCAAGATAGCCAGAGGTGGAGAAGGCTGGTTTAGGCGGCCGAAGATCTACAAGATTTGTAGTGCCAACCAAAAAAAAAATATATACCTATATACGCTATTTACAATCAGCCAGGAAAACTCCGAACCAATCTTGTCTCTCCACATGTGGAGGGGAAAGGAGATCCCTGTGCTTCTCCATCAACCACTTCACTATTTAAAACCAGCAGAGGATGAGTGACAGCGCTACAGCCACAGACACTCATGACTTGAGTGCAGAATCTGGCCATTGCTATAACTCCAAAATTTCCATGTTTACAAAAGGTCTCGGGGCCACTGCCGCTTTAACCTACAAGGGAGATTGTAGGGATGGGTGGTGCTTGATAGGGATTGTAAAACAGGATTTGAGTAATGAGTAAGGTCATGGTGAAATTTTGTCTGGGATAAGATCAAGAATAAATGGAATATTAAGGTCATTATGCAGGGTTTCACTAGCGGATCCAGGATTTAATTTTGAGGAGGAAGGGAGGCATCAACCCGAAAGATTTTTTTTTCAGATATATAACGATAATTAATTTGAAAAAAAGAAAGAAATTAACTACCTATATGAAATGGTGTTTAAGTGATTCTTGAAGTTCTATTAAATGTAATTACACGAACAATAATACTTTGAGAGATATTTTTTTCTATAAAACATGGTTATATTTTATCGTTTTGGAGAGGAAGGCTTCAGCCCGAAAGCTCCTCCCCGCCCCCGTAGATCTGCCTGTGCAGGGTTTTATTGGTTACATAGAAGGGAGCATTTTATTGTATGGAGGACTTTAGACTGAAAGGATTAAATGCGTTTGATGTTAGAAAATTTAGCTGTTCCCCACAGTTTTAGTCCATAGGTCCAGATGGGTTTCAGTATTGTCTTGTTTTTTATATAAGTAAATATAGTTTTAAGTGCCAGGTTTTTTTTGTGTATGTGTGTATGGTTATAAGATTTCAATATGTATCGTTTAAATAATGTGTTAAGAATCATTAATAAGATTTAATAAGTGTTTAATTAAAACTATTAAGCAAATTATAAGAGTGCCTAGTAGAAAGTTACTTTGGTGCACAGAGACTCCTGGAGTGTTTAAAGATTACATATTGAAATTACCCTAGTTTTAGTAACCATTGCATAATTTTCAGGATAGTTTGGCAGTATTAACTATGAAATTTATTATTGTTCATGAGATATACATTTAAACTTTTCTGATTATACATACATATATCAATCAATGAAAAGATTTAAGAAATTATTATCTCTTGTCTTTATTCAGTTCCTGAATGTAAAATTTTGTCAAATGGTCCTGTTAACACTTACCTAATCTTAAAATTCCTCATGTGTTGGTTGAAAGACCACTGAGCCTGGGTGTCTAATTCACGCCAGTCAGAATATCTTATCTTATATTAGATGTAGAATTTGGAAACCATTTAAGTTCATTCTCTTATTTTTATTTAAGTTTTGGTACAATATCGTCAGATGAAATGATTTCTTCCATCAGTTAAATCACATGTGATTTAAAAAAAGGCAATAAAGAGTCAAAAGTGGATTGTTTTGTATTTGTGGTGATTAAATAAATCTACATGAGGCAAATCATATTTCAATGTACATACTTGATTTTTTAGGCACTGGTAGCAACCATTTTTTTTACTTCCCGTTGTTCTCATCCTGCAGAAGATTATGAAGATGAAGAAACACAGATGCCTCTATTTAGAGATAGCAAAGGAGAACAGTATGGTGGCATCACAGAAACTTACTAAAATAATAGTAACCTCCTATTTATCACAAAAATTTAAACTATCATAGATGTAGCAACAAAACTCAATGAAAGCTAAATAAAAAAATAGTTCTGTAACTTGAAAACCGCCAACATTAAATAATATGATTGTATTATTATTCATTTTAGCACCAATATTTTACTATTTATTTCAATATTTATCATTTTTTTTAAATAAAAAATAAACCTTTTATACAGCAAGATTTCTAATTTATTCTTACTGAACTAATCCTTATTTTCTCTCTTTATTGAGAAACATTGTCTCTTCAAAAACCATTTCTCTAACACTAATAAATTGGAAAAAATTGTTGAGGAGTTGTCGATATTTATGCTGAAAGGGAAAGCTGTGGCTGTCAGTGTGCTAACTGGCTTGGAAAACCGGTGCTCAATGGGGTATGTGCATATATCACATTTTAGAGTAAAACAACTTTTGGACAATTAATATGCTTTTCAAACTACCATTTACAAAGTTTGATGAAAATTCGTTCATTATTTTTTTTTAATCAGATTTTAAACTTATTAACTAAGCAAAACTGGCACTATAGCCATGATGTCAGGCAGTTTAATTACTAGTAACTTTATCTATCATTTTAAACCACATTACTCAAGTCTCTGAGCTTTATATTTAAAGAGAGTTTTGAAAATACAGCTATATATTTAACCTATAAATGAGTAAGGATAATATTACATAGTAAAACTTGTACGAACTAAATATGTATAAGATTATACATGTTATAAACTCTTATTACTCCTTTGTAGTAAATTTTTTTAATAAAATGTAGTTACGAGGTTTTCTACTACCGATAGGTCAAAGGTGCTCACACTAATGGTAATTGAATAACTTAGTGATTTCAGAAAGGTAAATTTCATCAAATCATTCACTGATTTAATTTCTTCATATCTTACATAATGATTTTTCAGAATAAACCTATGAAATTTTCCAAATTATCTAAATATGATATTGAATCTAAAGTTATTAAACTACAGTAAATGTATTTAAGGTTATAAATATACAGTGGACAGCTAAAGTTTTCACACAATGATTTATTGATATTTCAATAAAAACAATTCAACAATTTTTGGTTTATTTCAATGTATTAATATATAAATTACTCCTTAATTAACACAACAATTCAATTACTCTTTAGTTAACACAACAAAATTGGCTGAACAACAAAGTTCAAATATTTTTAATACATTATAAATACAACTTTCTTCAACATTTTTAAATTAATACTTTGAATGAAACCCTGTATTTTTAGTATCATTTTAAACCACTTTGGAATTGGTCGTTTTTTTAATTTAATGTTTTACTCATCTGGTTGTACACTGCACAATTGTGTCTAATTCATAATACACTCAATCCATTGCTTATCTTTTCTTCATTCAATGTCACTTAATAATTATAATTTTTTTAGGGTGGGAATGACGTCATAGCCTGGGGGGTACCAAATGTCTAAGGCCGACACTGACTTTAGTACTTATAAAGTAGGCCATCCACTAAAGGTGATTCTTCATCATATTATAAAAGAAACTTGATACAAAACGAAAAATAAGTGATGACTTTTAATAAGGTCATCATTAATAGTTAGTTAAACAAACTAAAAAATATTATTTTAGTAGCAAAGAAATGTTTTTTAATAAACATTTTTTTTCCACCTTCCTCACTTTTTAGGCTGTATGGGTTTATTACAACCAAGGGAGAGGGCAGAAATTAATGAAAGAGTTAAAAGCTTCCCCTCCCCACAAACTGATTATTATTTCATCCTGTACATCATTTTAACAGGTTGCCAGAAAACACGTGTTGTGCACACCTATTAGCCTTCTCGGCAACCCTGCCTCCATGCAGATCTTTGCCTATGTTACAGAAGTCATTGATTGCGGAAACACAAGTAGACTATAATGGTCACCCAACCTCAGGATGCTATGAAACAGGGTCTCCATACTTTATGTGGGTTCAGCGGCAATGCTATATTGGTCTAGATCCATGAATCATGGATGCTCAGTCAACAAGCATGAGGGGCCACCATATTTATTTGTTTTCCTGAAACAGACTGTCTATAGACCAAACCTTCGGGTGGCTACTAACATCCTGGATAACCAGATTATGATTTCCGAATAGAAAAAACCTTTATGGCCATCAATCCAACGCCTGGTCATGGTAATTCACCTTTAGTAGGCCTAAAGGCCTCACATATCGGAGGGGAAGGAGAATCTGTGGCTACGTTTCTTTCCCCGCGACCAGTCAGCCGATTAGGCGTGAGGTCACCTATCCAATCCAAGTACTTACACTGTTATACTTACCATGCTGTATGCTGCTTAACTTCAAATACCTACTGCAAGCTCCTTAGCCATATTGGGAATACAAAATGTTGAATATATAACATTGGGGAGTATAATAAAAAAAATTAAAGAAAATTCCATGGTGTAATAGCAAAATGAAAATAAATAAGTGAGCTAATTTATTTAATAATCACAACTGACAATAGGTTTCTTTCTGATAAAAGATTCTTTATAATATTGATTAGGAACATTGCAAGTCAGAAGCTAGCATCCTTATTTATTTTTATTTTTTACAAATAACAGTAATTTACAAAACAAATTAAATAATCTAACTTTTTGACAACTTATTTCACAAACTTATCTCACCAGGAGAATGTACATTACAAGTATATACAAGTAAATAACAAAAGTTTTATAAATAATGATGAAACTAATTATTATTTTTTATTATTTGATTTATGTTTAAATTTTCCATGTTTCTTCAGTTCTTTAATTTTTTTAGCAGCTTTTTCTCTTGCTATCTGCAGAAAAACAAGTAATTATTTTCTTAACAAGAAAACCACTTAATTAGTAAAAAAATAATATTATGTAATATGCAACAAGGAAGCAAAGAACACCTGTACACTTTTTATTGATTTAAAATTATCACATATGTGCATTTAACTGTTTCTGCTTCACCCATAGGCATAGGTAAACATCGGCTACGATGGGTTTTTAAACTTTATTGTTTTTTATAACTTTTTTAAAATTTAAAAATTTTACTCCCCAAAGTGGGTTTTTGATTCTCATTCACTTTTAGGCTCATCTAAACTGTTTTGCTTAGATAGACGATATTTCCTATCATCTCCAGTCTATCTAGTTTTGTGAGATGTGAGCGAAAACGAGACAAAATTTTGCATTTTTTATGGCATCATATGGTATGGAGTTGGTAGGGTTCATTTTCACCACACCCAAAAGGAGCAAGTAGTATCAGCCTGTTAGATTAAAACTTTGCTTAAAATACTCCATTTAAACCATAATCATTCGTTATTAAGATATAATTTGAAAATGAAAGAAATTTGTAAATTGCTCACACCAGGTTTCCTTTGAGCCTACCTCTAAATGTATAGAAAGAGTTTAATCACCAGATTCGAGTTTGCTGTTCATGATATATAAGAAGAAAAGAGAATAAAAATCTAGAATTCTTTTCAAGTGGAAAAATGTTTAAACTCAAATAACATCCAACATTGATACACACAAAGGTACATACCCATTTCTACTAACACCTTGGAAGTATATGCGTTGATGACCTAGGGTTTTACGCCTTTAAGCTTTAAATTACAATAACCACCTTGGATGAAAATAACACTTTGTCTCATTTTCCTTACTTTACTGAAGACCAGTTGGAGAACAAATGTTTACCTATGAATAATAGTGGACTTTCTAATATTTGTTTTAAAAGTATGTAACTCCCCTAACAACTAATCTAGGACAAAGGTGCTTAAGTGTGGAACCTTGTGGCCATTTCCAACATTTTCCTTTTATTCAAAGAACTCATTTAATAAATAATTCCTTCATAGTGTCTAGAGCTTTTGTATTTGTTGGTACTCAACTATGTATTAATGTAACAAATTGAAATGTCTAGATTGTGATAGGGTCTGCAAAAAAAAAAAATGTTTGTTTAAGATGGGATTCTCGTTTAATAAAATATAATTTAACTCCAAGGCTCAAAGAGTTCTAGCCTTGATGAACTTATTTAAAATAAAAAAATTAAATTATTGTACTTACCCGTAAACAAATATATTTCTTCTGTTAGTTGTAACAATGTGAATATATTATTTTTTTGTTGATATTAATAATGTGATTATTTTTGAAATATAATGTAAATAAATAGATGGGGAAAAAGAAGTGAAGTTCCAACCGTGACTTGAGCCTTTTACTACAGTCGAGTAAGCTAGAGGCTTTTTGGATCAAGCCTTAAGGGCCCCTTACATGGTCAATATCGAGTTTTGTCAATATATTGACTGTTAAAGGGCTACATTGGCATTAATGATATTCTTGTCATTTTTTTTTTTTATTGAAGCTCCTTCAATATTAAACCATACATACGGATCCTGAGAAACTCTGGGAGATACCAAATTTTGGGTGCCCCTCTTGGCAATATGTTACGAGTAGGTGGGTGATACTTTGTTTAACTTTTTTTTGTGGTGAGATTAACTCCTCCCTCCGAATTTAAAAAAAAAAAAATTAAAATGGCAATATGTTAGAGTAGGGGGTTGATACTTTTTCTAGTTTAATTTTTTTTTTTTTTTTTTTTGAGGGAGAATTGAACCCCTCTCCACTCATCACCAAGGATTCGAGTCTTGGCTGAGTCGTGAAAGCTCGAGCCTTTTCGGCTTAAGCCTTATAGCTTTCTCACCAAGCTTTTTTACAACACTGTTATACTGTCCAAAAAATGAATTATTTATAATAAAATATGCAAGGAAGGTCACTGTCATCACAGAGGTATTTGTAGAACATAATCGAAGAGTATATAGTGCCATTTGCACCCTGCCTTAGTGAGGAATTCGTGGTTATTGATGACAACACCAGGCCACACAGATCGAGAATGGTGGAGGAGTATCTGGATTGGGATTGGGATTGAGTGTCCGGTGTGGCCACCACAAAGGCCAGACCTAAGCAAAATCGAACATGTCTGAAGAGAAAGTTAAGTACTCGGCAATCGCTTCCAATCGCCATTAACAGCTTTCTCGAAGAGTGGGACATCATTCCTCAGAACTTTATTCAAAATCTATCTAAATCAATGAAAATAAGTTTAAAGGGTGTGATTCACACCATGGGTGGAAATACCCATTTTCCTTTTAATTTGCTTTTGTAAGGTTTTTCATACAGAGATTATTATTAATGTAAAATAAAATTTTGTTTTAAAATGATTAATGTTATCATATTAAAATTTTTTTTTGGTCCATAAATTCAAATAAAACGGATATCTTTAAATAAATGTAGGGGGTGCATTAATTTTGTCCATTAGTGTATAATAAACCAGTTGTTATCTATTATTCATTAACAGAAATAATTTTTGCCATATGAGTGTGTGTGTCTATTTCAGTGAATATCTATATGTATATATACATAAAAGTTCACCTGTGCAGGAGTTTTACTTTTAATTGCCACATTATTATCAGTTTGAAATGCATCAGTACTTCTGCTGGAATGTCCAATTATCTGCTTTTTGGCTTTACTGTGGCTAGGTGGAATATCCAGTAAAGATGGTGTTTTTAATAGAGTAACAGCCTTCTCAACGCGTTTGCTCATTTGATTTTCAATGCCTTCAAAATTCCATTCAAAATATCTATGTAATGTCCCCTGACCCTAGAATATTCAAAGTATTGTTAAAATAAGAAAATTATGATTTCATACTAAAGTCAATCCTATAGAAATAAGGAAAACAAATTACATGCAAAAAACAAAAATAGATAGCCAGGAGACCCGTTTAAATTTTTGTATGAAAGAAATATAATATAAGATAAATAAAATAGTCAACACGACAAATTATCGGATAATGATTAATATGGGGACATATTGACCCACTTCAAAAAAGAAATGCTAAATTTTATTTTTTTAAATCTAATAAACTGTGTGCATCATACATTTACCACTCTTCTGTGAGTAGAAATATCTTTGAGATAATTAATAATACATACATTGTAAAATAAAATAAAATAATCAAATGACTCAGTAGATATATATTTGTTTACTTAGTTTAGTTGGAGTAGCTAGATGATACAAAATGGTAAAACTTAACTAGCTTTAATAAAAATAAAATCTATTTATAATTATCCAATGCTTATTTCCACCATCCTAAATCTTTAATCAAGAGAAAAATGAAACTAAATAGGAGTTAAAATTAAAAATTTCTTAATACATCTCAGGATTATTAAACATGCATGTGACGCCGAGTTAAATAGTTTTTCTATTAGAGAACAAATGTTGTCATTACCTCAGTTCTGTTAAGGTTTTCAAAAACAGGCTGAAGTAATTTGTCAGTTCTTATTTCATTCCAACCAAATTTTTCCTTAGCATAATCCCTTAATGCAGTTAACTTTGGTTTCTGCCATGAGAAACGTTCAGTGCTCTGATCAACTAACGGCTCCAAATAGGCTTTGATAACTTCTGTACTAGGAAAACCTATAATGAATTCATAATTAAGTTTAATATAAGCCGCAAAAAGTATATTTCAGATTGAATAGATGAATTGTAAATAATTTTATTAATTTATTATTTAATTAATTTTATTAAATAAATAAATAATTTTAATTAACATACATGCTATTTAAGTATTATTATGTATGTATTGTAAATAAAATATGCAAACAATTTAATATTTATTTGCATAATATTTAAATTATTAAAAACTATAACAATTAATGTTTTCCAACAATTTCATAATAAAATAATTTAAGGATGCCGCTATCTGACAAAGTTGAAATAAACTTTTTTGCCTAAAAGGAGATTATTTGTTCAACTGATTCTACTTTAAGATTGAATGTACTTTTTTTTTTATTGTTGCATTCCGCAGAAAAGGTCATTAGCGGCTTAAGATGGAATTAAATTAGGGGGACAAATTTAATGTCTTTTATGAATTCAAATAATTTTTGTATTTTCTCTTTGTTATCTGAAAGTGTGTCAGATGTTTTAATGTATATGAAATGTTTGAAGGTATATTATGTTTTGTTCTGCTGTCAGTTTTTAAATAGAATTTTTAATATTTTGAAATATATAGTTAACATCAATGTATGTAATCAAATTGTCAATGTTTAATTACATCATAGAACCTTGCATAAGGTCAGATAAATTTACAACAATGGTCATTAATAATTTCATGGGAAATCTTGAAAAAATACAAAGTTAAATCAAGGATACGAAGTACACAATAGAATCAGGCATTATATAACAATTTTACTACTTAAATTTTTAGATAATAAATTGTAGCAAGAATGTTAGAAATGAATACTTATAAACAGACGTAAAGGTAATAATCAAAGATTAAAAATCCAATTGTTGTCCAGAAAGTAAATATATTATGTACTTCATCATAATCAGATAATAACAAATGTAATATAAAACTTTCATCACATTACTTTAACTTCTTTAATTATTCTTATTTCTGAAAAATCAAAAAAACAGTTCACTTGTATAAAAAAAAAAAAAAAAACACATTTATTCAAGAGAATATTATTTGATAAATTAAATCATAGAGCAAAAAGGAACTTTCATAATTTTCTTTTCTTTTCATATTTTATAACATAAGGTTGAAATTTCAGGGATTTGTCGCTACAAAATCAGAACTTTAGTCTAATAAAATATACAATCTTTATCACATATTATTTAGTAAAATGTATAACCATTAATTAATCCATTACTTGATCTAACAATTAACTTCACATGCTTCCATTGCCTATAAAATAAAATAATTATGCTAAAAACATCAACAATATTCTTTTCTGAATGCCTGACCATTTTTCCATATCCATATCCATACATGTCATGATTGTAACTTACTATAACTTTTCTGCTTGGATTTTATCTTTAATATCTTTATCAAATATTTAATATGTGATATATATATATATATATATATATATATATATATATATATATATATATATATATATACTTTTTATTTTAATCAACATTAAAAACAATAATTTAAAGATCTTATTGTATTGCAAATATGACCAAAATGTTATTATTTTTTAATATTTACAAAATGTATTTCTGATATCTCTCAAGTAATTAATTATTATGCTATTTTTTACGATATGTGTGGCCGGAAAAATTTCCATTTACTATTGCTGTATACACTTTCTAAAATATGTTGGATGGTAGTACATTTTTAAGAAAAAAGTTGAGATGGAGATTAATCCACAAAACTTGAACCTTATGAAAAAGATGAAAATAGAGAAAAATTATGCAAGTTCATTTTTGCTTTAAATTTAACACATTTCAAATAAAATTCAGAAAAAAAATGAGCTAATGAAAATCTGAATGGTACAATTCACAGTCAAATAAAATGTTTTGAATATGAATTCGTACTACCCATTTCCTGTCTCGGCTAGGATTTTTTCTTATTAAAGAGTAGTGTAAATTATAAGATTTGAGAAAGAGGTTATGCCACCTAAATTCATTCTGTCCGACCATTAAAACAATGTGTACTTAAATTATTATAGCTAATACCTTGTGAAATAGATATCTTTTTTAGTTTGGATAAAATATTAGGCTTCATTTTAGATTTCTTGAAATCATCTGCAAAGTGGGCTAATCTTTGTGCAATCGTAGACTCTTTTTCATTTTGAGGAAAATGAGCTATAATTTCTAGGGCAGTGACCGCTCCAACACCACTTAATCCAGGCGTATAGTCACTACCACTAAGGAGGGCGAGCATAATCATGTCATCACGTCCCATATCTGTGAAATTATATATTTTAAATTAAAACATTCAATTAAATTTGGACAATAACAATAACACAATTATTTGTTTAAAATAGGAGTCTCCAAACTTTTAAACTATTACATTGAAACCCCTACTAAGTCCCGCCGGCAACAGACCTCCACATAAGCCTTGTGGGCCATGGTTTGTGATAAAAGGAAAATAATTTTCAATAAATGACATTTCAGTTGTGAAATGAGCTTTGATGAAAAAAACATGCAATAAATGTGCGTAGTAACCTTGTGTGTGAATATTTTGCTAAATTTCATGTTTGAATATTTTTTAAAATTTTACCATAAAATTAAAGAAAATTCACAGGCCGTACCAAAGGTACTCGCGGGGCTAGATTCGGCCCATGGGCCATAGTTTGGTGGAAACGTCTGGTCTAAGAGAAAATAAATGAATTTTATTAGCATGTTTCAGAAATATGGTGCAATGTGCGCATCATATAACTTTCACTTACTTACCCTACTTGGAGTAAAAATACGTATTTTTGTGCAAAGGAAAGTGAAAGTAAAAATTAAATACAGTACAACATATTCATTTAAAACATTTTTTTCACCCATCGAATCTGTTAAATTAATACATTTGTATCACTTTCCCATTTCCTTTTAGAACTGTATATAATATTCAATAATATTAATGATTGGGGAGAAATATGGATTTTTAAGAAAATTTATCAGACACATCTATCACTCTAAATTTGTTTAAAAAAAAGAGTTAATATTAGTATCTACTGTACATTATTAGGCTTATAATAGTGCATCCTCAACATTTTGTGTGAACATATATTTTGAAAATTTTGGGTAAATGAAATATAACAATTAAACTAACAATATGAAAGCTGTGTACAAAGGGGTATTAAGTATCTATAAATGGACAGAGGCTGTTTCTGTAGGTTGTAGTTCCCAACCCTTATTTCTTCTTTAGTTAATATTCTTTTTTTTCATTGATTATATTTAACCACTTTTTACTACTAGTTACAAGGTGAAGTGGTTAATTTTTTTAAATAAACAAAATTAAGGAGACTTTGATAATTTTTTTTTTTTAATTCGGCATTTAAGCACTTCCAGACTATTTCAATGAACTTAATAACTGCCTGATCTTAAATAATACCACTTGATTTTACATTGATTTAATCAGTTTAATCAAAATCATTAGAACTGTTTTTGAAAAAAATTGTAAAAAAGAACAAATTCAATAATATAAAGGGAAACTTCCAGTTAGCCAATATGACAAAAAAGTTGCTGTAACATACTAGACCTATATCTACCTTAAATACATTATTCCATTTTCATACAACTTTTTGGTTTTAACAAAGACTGCATGCACACTTAACAATCCATTTTTAGTTGTTATAGCATCTCAGGCAAATACCTATCTTAAATAAATATCAATTTTGTACTTCAAGCTAGTCTGTTCACATAAACACAAACACACACACACACACACACACACACACACAGACCATTTTGTGGGACTTAGTTTTTTTTGGACTCAGAGAAAAATATTTTTCATTGAAAACTTCAAACATTTTGACAATTGCAATACTTTCCCTTATTATATTATACTATATATCGGTATATTAAACTATATATATCCCTTATTATATTATACTATATTTTTATACTATATATCGGTAAGTAAAAGTAAAAAAAATTCAATAATATAACAGGGATTTTTTTTTAACAGTAACATAAAATAAAACTTAAATTATGCTTGTCTTACGCAAACATCTGGATATATCAGTTGATTTGAATTGCTGGACAAATTTTTTCTGGTCAAAAAAATTCTTATAAACAGTTCTGCCGCCAAACAACCAAATATCAGAATCATCAGTTATTGTTCCCTGGGTTTGATGGGTAAGGTCTAAATATGCACACTGTGCTTCAGCTTCCAGAGGTGCTATGATAAATGGTATCCCAAATAATTGTAATAATTGCTAAAATGAAAATTAATAGATAGAATAACCATTGATAATTATTAAATCTATGCATTATAATAGAAAACATATCATTACAGAAATTATGATAATTATAAGTTAATTTATTTTTTTACCTGAGCATCCTGTATTATTTGCTCAGTAATAGTAGATGCAATACGATCTTCCTTTAAAGCTTCATTTCTAAGACTGTCAGATTCACGTTCAAGATCTTTCTGAAAAAACAAACAAACATATGTAATAAATTAAATAACTAATAGATAATAATAAAAAATAAAAAAAACACAAAATATTTCTTCTGGACTCACTTTCATGACAATAATTTCATCAACAGATAACTGAGGAGTGATTGACTTCACATCCTGCTTGTTGGTTGATCCACTGAAATTTTTTTCATAATTGCCATCATGCACAGATTCACTTTTATTAATAGTAGCATCATTTTCACTGGGTTTCCTATCAACCACAACATTTACTTTTAAATCCTTACAGCTGTCATCAATAATTTTATTCACAGTAGATAAAGTGTCCTTTTCTAAATATTTCATATTGTTTTCATCTAAATTGGGAGAACTATCTTTCACAGATATTTTGTTGCTATCTTGTAACTTATCATTATCCGGTATCATAAATATATCGGAAAAAATATCATCCTTGAGTTCTTCCCTAGAATCAATTATGATTTCATTAGGAATTGAAGGACTATGAAAATCTATTGTGTTGGGCTCACTGCTTTTATCATTAGTATTTAAATTCGAACTTTCATTAACTTCAATAAAATCTTCAGAATCACTTGATGATTCTGTACTGCAAATTTCTCGTAATTTAGGTAATGAGCCACCAAGTTCATTTTGGGTATTTTGAGATCCTGGCAAAATAGATATATCTTTAACAGCATTTTGATTATCTATTTCTTCTGAAATAAACATATTTCTGTTAGAATGATCAAACCTATAAGGCAATATTGAACTACTTGTATCAGAAGTATTACATGAATCAGACAACTGATTGTTATTATTTATCTGATTAGTTTCATTTTTGCAATAAGATGTTTTACTTGAATCTGAAATTATAATGGACGCTGATTGAGCAGACAACTTTTCTTTGTTGTTTGATAAGTTAGTTTCATTCTTAGAATTATTTTTTGATTCTGAACTTGAAATAGATGGTGGTTGAAAAGAGGCAGATGGAGGAGATGAAAACTGACAATGGAAACTGTTTTGTGGGAGAATCCCATGCTCCAGATCTACTTCACTGTTTCTCAATTCATTTTCCATGGCCTGGTCATTAACTTCTAATTCTTTGTCCACTTGAGTTTTCCCATCATTCTTTTCATCTGAGCTGGCAGCTAAAACTTTGAACTGCAGCTCTTTACTTTTTAAACCCTGCGGGACTGAACTATCCGTCACTATTTTATATATTTCATTTTGGGTTAAGCTATCATCTATTGAATCCATTCCCTCCAAACCAACTTCATTTGTATCAAATAACTCTTTACAACTTTCTACAAGTTCACTACTTGATTTGTCATTTGTATTGAGTTTTTTCAAATTATCTGAAAAAAAAATACAAACAGCTTTAAATAAATAATTTAAAAAAAAGTAATTTATGAATTGAGAAAAAAAACAATCAACAAAATAGCACTAACCCAACCCGTGAATTTTAAGCAATGAGATTTAGTACCTATATTCCCACAAAAAATGTGCATGTAAATATAAACAAATAATTATAGAAGAGAAGTTTATATAGGTATATTCATCAGCCTAAATTCCATGCAGAATTAGCTCTTTTGTTTAGAAAGCCTGTATATGAGAATAGCAGTACAATGAATTAATTATACCTTTATGTTATACTTAATCACTAAATCTTGTAGGTGGTCGAAATTGTTTTCCAAAAAATGATGAATTTATTATTCAGTTTTAATTTGCATTATCATGCACCTTAAATTTTAAATCAACAGAACAGAAACTAAGAACAAGTTTTTAATAATCAAAAAAACGTATCTGCAGTCAATACAGCAACAAAATAATGAAAATAATTTTTCAGGAAACCTTTGGCTAATATAATTCAATTTCTTTTAACCACTAAAAAGGTTATTAATTACAATAATCTCAGTTTATGGTATAATAGAATCCGGGGTGCCTATCCTCCCCAAGGTCAATGGAGCATGAGCCTCTCCCTTCCTCTTAAGATATTTTATTTTTCTCCTCTTCTTAAAAACAGCTCTAAAGTAAAATTTTAAAAATCATAGGTCATATACAATATACTTTCAGCGGTCTGTCCTATGCTTTTCTCTTGTCTCCTGGTTTGTAAGTTTTCAATCCGAAAATTCATAACTCTGACGAAATGTGGCCCCTCAAAAATTTTAATGATGCAACTTGTACCATAAAACTCCCTTGTAGGCACCTCTGAATAGAATACATTACTTAAATATATCTATAATTAAATTCAATGTAATTATAGTAAACTAAACTATTAGGTATTAAATATATTATTTAACGCAAAGATAATGTAAATCAAAAGGTTAAAAAAAAAACTCTAGTCATTAATGACATTGTCTTGCGAGATAAAAATTTTGATTATAAGCCAAATTCTGGAGGGTTACATATAAAATTTTATTTAAGTAAGTTTTGACAATATAAATAAAAAGTAGAAACACTACTCAACAAAATTATTACAACAATACAAATCTTTAGATCAATAGAATAGTCAATTTTCAACCATCCATCTTTGATTTAATAGAATATAAAGACATTTCCCATATAATTTTGCCAACCTATAGTTGGAAAAATATAAATAAGCTATTAACTAACCTTCCTTATTTCAATGCAGAGGAAATACTATTACATCTGGGATTATTTTTAACCCTGATGAATAACAACAACACTACTTTGAGGAATCACTATTCTTTTTCCATACATCAAATTAGGAGCGAGTTCTACACAATTCCACTATATTGATCTGAAATAGAAAATGTATGGAGAGCATGATGTAATGTTTTTTAGCAGGAGAAATAAAGACAATTATATTTTAACCTATGATACTTTAGCAATCATCATTTATAAATGAGTAAAAAATGACATTATATTGAGCAATTATTAACAAACTGTCAAAAATAAATCTTTATATTGATTTTTGTAAAGTAACAGTAGAGGGGCAATAATTATGGCATTTAAGGTAGTACTAATGAAGAGTTGAATCCAGAGTCTTTTCAGGTTTCAACAGTTTAATACATTCCATTAGAGAAAATTTGGTTCAGTTAACATGTAATAATTTTGTTGAGTTTGGTCATGATTCTAGAATATTGTGAGTATGAGTATTTTTTTTTCCCTTTAATCAAGAATATTAAAATTACTCAATCTAAAAAATGGTAGTCAAATGAAAAAACATGAGAAGTTAATGATAATTAGAATAAACAGTTTCAATAAATTATGTTATAAGAAGAACTTACAATAGACTGACTTTTCTCTATACTTGCATTTTTAAAAATATTTTATTAATGAAATATATAAAAATAAAATAATTTTGTTATAAACATTTAATGGTTGCTGGCAATAGCCACTCGAGGATTATGTACAGCTTATGAATAAGCAGATAAATTTATTTTTAAGCAACCGGTTGTGCAGAAAGAAAAATATATACAGGAAGACAATGTCTTTTTTATTGAAGTTAAATTTCAATCCTGTGACATCAAGCCTCAATTAAAAAATAATACTTAATGACTGACTAAGAAATATAAAATTTAAAACCATATAGAATCACAACAATTTCAGTAATAAAAACAACTCATAGATGATTAGAAAAATAAGTCTTTGATACAAATATTTTTGTTAAATGGAAAAGATTTTAAAAAAATAAAAACTTGCCAGCATATAGAATTTTTGTTGTGTTATCAGCAGCTATTCTTTGAGCAAGCTCTACACCTTGATCTGAAAGAATAGATTGAAGATCAGATATTGTAAAACCTCTACATCCCATCTCTCCTTCAGCCTGCTCAATACCTACTTGAACAGCCCTCCTTTTCAGAAGACGGCTCATTTGAAAATTAGAAAATTCACTGCCTTCCTTAAAATATATTTTTTAACTAGTAAAACAAAAGTATAACATTAAATAGCTATTACAAATTACTGAACTAAATACCTCAGGCATAAGATGCAGCTTTGCCCAAGAATTTTCTTTCCTTGTCTCCTTTAACTCTGTTAAAATATCATGTCTCATGTCAGGAGGGAGAGACATAAATTCTTCACTATTGATGTCGATTGAATGTAAATCTTTGTATCTGAACACCTCTCTGTCTGAATCAGGATCACTTTCTTCGCAACTAAAATGATAATTCATAACAAAATTAAACATAGTAAACTTAAAAAATAATTATAACCTGAGCCTAAGTTTTTATTGAGAAAAAACCCACAGAATATGCCATATAATAAGCAATAAAAAACAGTTAAGTCTGCAGAAAAAATTTCTCAAATATATAATGATGGCTAAAACCTTGAAATATAATAATGTGAAAGGAAACTAAAAAAGAATATGGGGAAAGGATTAAAAAATTAAACAGAAATTATTTCAATTGATTTTTTGTATTTTCTTTCCTCCTCAAACCAAAATAATTAATAGATAATGTTACAAACAAAAACAGGAAATAAAAAAATATACATGCATTAGAGTATTTGGTTATGTATAGGAAGATTACTTTTATTTATTGTTTTGTATATATAGTACGAATCAACTCTTGTAGCTCGAATACTAGATTGTATTAACATCCCCTACTATCAAAAAATATATTTTTTTTTAGAACTACTTTTTAAAAAGTCAAATAAAAGCAGCTATAATATAAATAATTGTATTTCAAAAAGATGATTAATTGACAATATTACAAAAATAAATAGAAATTAATAAAACACCAATGGATATGAAATAGTTAAAAAACTTTAGAAATTCATACATAAACATCTAAATGTACTTAAAATGTGTATATTAATGTTTTTAAAAAAATGTAAATGAATACTTTTTTAAAAGCTAAAATATGAAGATAATAGAAAATTAAAATTAGTAATAAAATAAAATCAGCAATGATTATATTTAAAAAGTTATTAAACACAATTATTTACAAAATAAATAAAACACAAATAGATTAGTAAGCAACATGTTCTGCATTCAAATTAATTAACAACTGTCTAACTTTGTTTCTGAAAAAATAATTTTATTTTATCAATTGATTAATCTTCAAATTGATTGTTTGAAATAAAAAAACTGACCATTTTATATCAACAAATGTGATGGGGACAAATTTATATGCACTTCAAATAATCGGCTTATTTTCACAAGAAATTTATTTTTAACAATAGCTGTTTCATCTTTAGTATTGTAATAGAGGTTGATCTAAGGTTTCTATTTTGAATAAAACAATGCACTTACTTTTGGCATTGAAAATAATAATAATAGTAAGTATTTTACCAAGTAAAGAAAGTAAGAAACAAACTAAAATTGAGTGTAAGGATTAAAAACAATAAGAAGAGGGGAGGAAAAGCCAGGAAATGAAAAAAACATTCATATTTTAAGAAGTTAATAATGAAGGTAGTGTTATTTAATTTGTTAATTGTTGATAGTAAATGAACCCAAGACTGTAGTGTAGAATAGCATTTTTTTTTCACCATGCCAGACAAAATTAAGAAAAAGTTGTTTAAAATTTAAACAATAACCAATCATTTATGAAAATCAAAGTGCCAAGCATATTTATTACATTTTAGATCTAATTAAAAAAAAAATCTTTAAGGTATTCAAATATAACTAAGTCCAATTAACATTAAATAAATTAAATTATGGAGAAAAATTTTAATTTCAAATCAATATTCAAATCCAAACATTGAAAAATCAATATTTATTTCTTAGTTAAAGTGCTGAATTATTAATCATCTAATAAGATAAAAACATTATCTATAGTGACTTCATTACAAATATATGATAATCATTATTGAAATGATTGAACAAATAATTAAAAAAATTTTAAATCTGAGATATACCTTCAATTCTTAAAATAATAATTTGTCCTATTCTTTCCAGCATGGGACTAATATTTTCTGTTAAAAATATTAAAGAAAAAAATTGATGACCCTACCCTGTACTTTAAATCATGATCTGTAGCACCAACCGAAAAAAAAAAAAAAAAAAATATATATATATATATATATATATATATATATATATATATATATAGTTGCTGCCATTTGTTACATTTTTTTTTAGAGAAAAATGGAGTGTGAAAACCGACATTTATATTTTGCTGGAGACATCTTTCTTTATTTAATGATCTAGTTTTTCCCACCAGTTTTAAAAATAAACCTTTTCATAAATTGTATGTTATTGATACTTGAATACAATATAAATATCAAGAAAACAATTAATTCATATTACTCTTTTTCTGAGGGAACTGGTGGAAGGTTAAACAATGAGTCTTCTTTAGGATGGAAGATCTTTGGAAGCACAAATGACTCCCCTAAGGTTTTTCCCAAAGCCTCTTGTTTTGCCAGGTTTTCTAACAAAGTCATTCTTAATTTGTCTCCCAACTCTTCAGCTTTACTTCGGTTATTTTGCCTGGCAGCCTAAAATAATATAATTATAAAATCATAAAGATAAGTAAATTGTTTTGAAATTTAAATATACAATATTTTTTAAACAAATCTTTATTGTTCAAAATTGATATTTGTGGCATTAGACAACAATATTTATGTCATTATAAATGAAATAGTTAGAAATATAATAATATAGAAAAACCTAATTATATCGACAAAGATAACAAAAAATATAAATATGAAACCATTGTTTAATTTAATATAGTGCTATATATTTTGAATTGACACATTATATGTAAGTTACAAGTTAACAATCAAAATAAATATTTATAATTGTCGTTCTTCACGCCAATACATTATATAGTATGCCAAAGTTCACAGAGAAGGTAAATACATTTAAATGATAAAATATATTGTAATCAAGAATATAGAAAACTTTTTTTTCCACCAGCAAAGGAATGTGAAACATAGCGTAACAAGCAAAGGTTCACTCCTAATCTTCTCCTTCACGGTGATTTCATGCATATCTGCAAGCTGAGGACAAAAAAGTGTTTCAAATCCATAGTTGAATAGTTCACCAAGTCATGAGTTGATGATATGGAATAAGACCAGTATCGCACAGGTCAGTGATTTGGGAAGATTTAGCTAGCTAAACTCTCACAGACAGTAGTTAATCAAGCGTTAAGCAACAAAATACCTTTTTCTATAAAATTCTCACAATTGAAAAAAAGCTTTTACAACATAAATAAAAATAAACATATGTATACTTCTATAAATATGAAATGATTTAGAAAATTCAAATGTTGTCTATTCACCATTAATTTGAACAATTAATCTATTTATTATACAACAATTAATCATTCAATAAATAAAAAGATTGCAGAGGGCTAATTTTAAAAACAATGAGGTTAAAAAGAGAGATTCTACTTCCGTTCCCAGAGCTGTGAATCTTGATATGAAAAACATCAACACACAATACCCAAGTTCTCAAGAATTCTGTAATCAAAGTAATCATTTATATTTTATCTACAGAAATGGTATTACGCAACAAATGATTTTAAAAATGTATTGGAGAAAGAATATACAATAAAACAAATTATTACAATGATATAAATATACAACATAAATATCAGTGCCTAATGTCAAGCAAATTTATATATATATATATATATATATATATATATATATATAGAGAGAGAGAGAGAGAGAGAGAATATCTTGATTTATTTGCTATATCTTGATATATATATATATATATATATATATATATATATATATATATATATATATATATATATATAGAGAGAGAGAGAGAGAGAGAGAGAGAGAGAGAATATCTTGAACTTAAATATAATAAAATAAACAAAAAAATATTAACTATAGTTTTTCTTTTCAGTGCAGGCACTCCTCCATCAAAAACAAATATCGGTTTGATGCGATAGAACAGAAGTTTACATATTCGATGAAAAAGACCAATAAGATAGGCATTTGCAACTGATTGGCCAGCTGATTGAAAACCTTTAACCAACTGATAAAGCCAAATTGAAACATCTACATAGATATAATTAAGGAAAATGATATAATTCGATTATTGATATAATTGCTAGTTAAAGAATATTAAGATTATCCTAAGAAGAAAATACCAAGAGGAAAACTGATGATACTTAAATAACAAACTAGATTATCCTATGCGAACATTAATTTATCCTGTAGAGTTAAATGTTTTGTTTCATCTCGATCCTGAAAGTAATAAAATAAACTATTTATAAAACATTTTTCAGATTTCTGAAGAAGTTTTGCCAGGGTTTTAAGGATAAAGCATGCCAGATAATGATAAAATCAGAAAAACTTAAAAGAATTTACTGCACCCTGAATAGTGAAACTGATAATGGAATGGTTGGCAGAAGGTAAAAGAAAGAGAAAAAGATATAGTATAAGTTTGAAAAATAATTTAAATAAAAAGGCTTAAAGAGGAATTCAGATGAGGAAACTTTATGAATGAGGGACTAAATTTTGAATATAAAAAGAATTGCCATTCAATGTAATATATTATATAAGACAAAAATTCATAGTAAATGAATTTGTTAATATTAGATAATTAATTTTATTATTTCGGGAAGTTGGGAGTTCTACTTAGTTATGTTATTTAGAAAGCAATTTAGCACTTCGATGATTCTACAATCAATAAGACCACAGGAAATATAAAATTATTTAGAAAGAAAAGACAAAATATCAAGAAACAAAACAGATGATTCTCATATAATAAATTAAATCAATCCAAGTGGAAGTTAATTTTTATTTGAGAGTTAATAATTTTACTTTTAATGCTATTGTACACGATTATATCAGTTAGGACTGATAAAGAAAATATTTGAATAACAAGTTTTACAAGGCTGAATTTGATATTAAAACAATAATAATGCATGGATTATTTTATAATTCAAAAGTAATTATTGGAGTTTCCCATCTTAGCTATTTTCCCACACATTCAAATGTTAATACATTCAAGCAGTTTTTAATTAATAAGTAATTACTCAGGAAGAAGAGGTTGGAAATTGATACTAATTGTTATGAATAAGTCGTACTTAAAGAAGCAACAATGGCATGTGAAGGAAATTACCCACCTAGAACTGTGGGAAAATGTCTGGCACTTCCTTGAATGAAATATTCTTGTCCAAGAGATTTTCCCAGGCTCTGAGGTAGACAAAAATACAATTTCAGAATATAATAGCATGTAATTACAAGAAAAATTCATCGAAGATTTTTTAAAGAATAAACAAGAAATATTCCCCTATGTTCAAACAATTACTCATGAAAATTAGTACTTTCATAACACTAGATCTTTTATATACAGACATGTACTATTCTAATTCAATGAAAACAGTTTTTAAAGGTATTTTTATAAAATATATGATTATTGGTAGACTATGAGAAGAAAATTCAAAATATTTATTAAATGTGTTCAGTCAAGTTGATTAAATGATTGATCAAATTAAGTAGTTATTTTTGGTGATAAACTAATGTTTAGTAAAAACATTGATGTTCTACATAAGATAGAGACATTAGGTTATGAAATAACAATTTATTAAGTTGATTGTTATATCTACCACCATGTTATAAATCTCAATTAAAACCTTTGAAATACTTAACGAACTTCATAGTTTCATTTTTGCGTGATAAAGGAACACATATCAATGTAGTTTATTTTAAAAATATACAAGTACTTTTTTATTCTAAGGATGTTGAGGTTATCGACTGAATGAACTTCAAAATCCTTAGAATATAAATATTGACAGTAATTGATCGTAAAAATCATGTGACATGTAATCGTGATACCATAGAACATATATATAGAAATAATATGTGGAATAAATTATGAAAATATACACAGCTCTGTCAAAATAGGTAGAGAAATTGAACTTCTTACTATCACAAAGAACATGTTACAACCTTTATTTATTAAGATAAAGTACAAAACCGAAGCTGTGATACCTGAAAATAAATATCTATATTTACTCCATACCAATTCTTCTTATAATCAAAGTAACCAATTCATGACAGTGGAAGATATATAATTAATTTTCATATTAGTCTAAAGATGAATACATAAAGACATGCCTGAGAACTTAGTTGATAAGGTTTAGGTTAGATTATGTAGAACACTTATCAATCAGATCAATGATGAGAAGTTTATTTAAAAGATTAGGCCAAAGGATACCAACTGCAAGCACTCGGTTTTCTAAAGTTTCTAGAGGTATAGGTTTTCCTGAAGTTTCTATAAGCTTCCACAACCCATGAACACCCATTATGAATTGTTCGTTTGAGTCAGGAACGATTCTATAACTTATAAGTCAGGGACGATTCTATAACTTATATTGACACTTCAATTTTAAATGTATAAAATTGCCGATTAATTGATTAACGTAGAAAATAGACAATTAGAAACAGATGAGTTCAATTTCGAGCAAACTTATAAGTGATCCAACATTCATAAAACCAGCGTATATAGCTCTGAAGTTTGTAATAGAAGGACCTAGCATCTTTGGGCAAAGCATAAATCCGCCTTGGTGTAATAAGGGAACGGATGCTCTTTCTATTTCTCACAGTGCGTAAGGACCCGTGGGAAAATCACATTCGCCTTGATTCTCCTATCCCCTTTCTTCAACAGATTCATGATTGGCAGCACTACCACGCTATTGGTGAAAAGGTGTCCGAGTGGGAGTAGTTTACTCTAAAAATCCAACCATTTCATTGGCTGAACCTCCCTTCTTCTCTGACTTGTGGTTTAGGCGGAGCTTGACCTTCATTCTTAAAACAGATAAGCATGAAGTTAGTTTGATAGAAACAACTCATGGTAACCCGTGATTTTATTCTGGAAAAAAAGAGTTTTATGTGTATTACAGCCTGTTCCTGAAATATATTTGCATTTATTTATTTTTTGAAAGAAAGAATGTGAGAATCGATTTCCTTTAATTTGTGTAACGTTGGTCAGACTGTCGGAAAATTTCCCATGGTGAACAGGTGTTTTCGAATGATGTTTTGAAACAGTAACTGAGTTCTTGTGTTGAGGGAGGGATGGATAGTGTTTTGTTGTGGCGTCATACTTGGACTTAAAATGGTATGTACGATTTAAAATTCTTATACAGAACTACTTCCTTACGAAAATCAAAGTCAAAATTGAAAATATCCTCAATGATTCTTATCTTATATAAATTAAATCGTCCGAATCATTTTTACACATTAAACATTTGCTTGCATTTATTGTTATACTTATTTATTAGTGAATAATTATAATTGGTATTTATTTTTTAGGGTGTTTTGAAATGAATAACTAGACATGAAACTATTTAGAGGAGTGATCCTCTAGCTGCTATGTAAGAGACTTTTAAAATATCTCCATGATGCCTCACCAATACGGGATGGCTCACAGTCTACAGAATCCAGTGGAGAGATATATATACCGAAATGAAGATCAAAGACTTACTAGGGAAGCCATGGAAAGGTATTTAAGAGAAAGGAGTGATATGATTATTGTTATTCTCCATGCAAAAGTTGCACAGAAATCCTATGGAAATGAAAAACGATTTTTCTGTCCTCCTCCATGTATTTATCTGTATGGTGAAGGATGGCGTTTAAGACAAGAACAGCTCTTAAGGGAAGGAGATACAGAACATGCAGCTCAACTCTGTGCTTTCATTGGTATTGGTAACTCAGAGCAAGATATGCAACAGCTCGATTTAAACAATGGAAAACAATATTGTGCTGCCAAGACATTATATATATCTGACTCCGATAAACGAAAACATTTTATGCTCTCTGTGAAAATGTTTTATGGTAGTGGTCATGATATCGGTGTATTTCAGAGTAAAAGGATTAAAGTCATTTCAAAGCCGTCCAAAAAAAAACAGTCATTGAAAAATGCTGATCTATGTATTGCTAGTGGTACAAAAGTGGCATTATTTAACCGCCTTAGGTCACAAACAGTCAGTACACGATATCTGCATGTTGAAAATGGGAATTTTCATGCAAGTTCAACTCAATGGGGTGCTTTCACAATTCATCTACTTGATGATGATGAGAGTGAAAGTGAAGAATTTAGTGTGAGAGAAGGTTATGTTCATTATGGAAGTACAGTCAAACTGGTATGTTCCGTGACAGGTATGGCTCTTCCGCGGCTTATAATCAGAAAAGTTGATAAGCAGATGGCTCTTTTAGAAGCTGATGATCCTGTATCGCAATTACATAAGTGTGCATTTTATATGAAGGATACTGAACGGATGTACCTTTGCCTGTCACAAGAACGTATTATTCAGTTTCAAGCTACTCCTTGTCCTAAAGAACCTAATAAGGAAATGATTAATGATGGAGCCTGTTGGACTATTATTAGTACAGACAAAGCTGAATATCAGTTCTATGAAGGGATGGGTCCTGTTCGAACACCAGTGACACCTGTACCAATCGTTCATAGTTTGCATTTGAATGGAGGTGGTGATGTTGCTATGTTGGAATTATCTGGAGAGAATTTTACTCCTAATTTACAAGTATGGTTTGGTGATGTTGAAGCTGAAACAATGTACCGGTGCCAAGAGTCAATGCTGTGTGTGGTCCCAGATATTTCATCATTCAGAGGGGAATGGCTTTGGGTCCGCCAACCAACACAAGTACCAGTGTCACTTGTCCGTAATGATGGTATAATTTATGCCACCGGCCTTACCTTTACTTATACTCCTGAACCTGGCCCTCGTCCTCATTGCCCACCTGCTGAAGATATTATGAGGCATAATACTACACACACAGATAGATTACCTCCTATACCAGACGTGGCTTGGAATCAGGCTCAAGGTATATAATTGTAACTTATATTTTTGTTCCATCATTCATGTAACTCTCAGGCATTTACTTCCATGAGATTTATCATTACATACATTTTTAATTTTAAAGTATTAAATAAGTTTATTTAAAATATGTAACAACACAATCCTTTATATGTGATAGATTAACCAGTTATGTTTTTTTTAAACTTCTTTTCTTAGGCTGTTCTAAGTATGGATTGTGTATTCCAGAAGTATAACTAGTTCATGTTACACAAAGATTTATAATGATTCAAACTTGTGTTTTTAAGATTCATTAGAAGTGTAATTGTGCCATTTTGGTTTACTTTTAGATAATTCAAGTCAAATTACCATTTTGGGGTAAATCATATTTTTTTTTTTAATTTAAAATAATATTTAGGAATTATGCATTTTCTGATGAATAAGAAGTGGATTTGGAATTGATTGTAAATATACCTATAAGCAATATGTACATATATATAGCAGAAGTCTGATAGATAGTAGGCCTTCTACAAGGAAATTTTACATTATTAGAACTTTTATTAGGTTAATTTATAGGTTTTTAGACATACATTTATATAAATTTTGGTAATGGGACTCTCTCTCTTTACTTGCTCAACTTAGGGAATCAAGACTCAATATTGCTAAGTGTTAATTACCCTCTTCTTTAATTTATTATATTACACCATAGAAATTGGTCAGTCTGAAAAAAAAATCATTTTGGAAATTTGTGTAATTAAATTTTATATAAGTTTTGATTTTCAATAATACAAAATAATGAATAACAATATTAAAAGTCCGGGTAATTATCTTGTAACTTTATTGTTAATTTTCTATTTAAAACCTTTAAGCTGTGTTCTAATTAACAATTTTTAAATATTCAATTTGACTTTTCCACTTTTTTTTTTTAAGACGATTTAATTTAAATGTCTGATGCTTTGTATGGTTCTATATTGACATAAATTTCAACAGAATCTTGCTCACTAAAATTTGATAAAAGTAAAACATACTTCTTATGGTTCATTAAATCCTCTGTATTAAAGTACTAGCTAAAATTTGTTATTAATCGTGAAAAAAATTCTAATATTAGTCGTAACTAAATTAAAAATGTAAATAATACCCATAAAAAGTCACCTATAAATTTCCAAATCATCAGTTTATTAAATCTTATTATAAGTTTTAATACATGTGAATCATAAGTGTAAATAGTACACATGGAAAGTCATTTATAAGTTTCAAAATCATCAATTTATTAAATCTTATAGCAACTTAATATATATAGTATGAAAAGTAACTTTTACTGAATCAGTGCTGAATTTTTCAATTTAACTTTTTTTAAACATAAATATGTTATCTGAATCTTGCCATGAGTTACCTTATAGTAATAAATCAATTCATGAGTAAGAGTAATTATTACCTTACTTTTTTTACTTTCAGAAATTTTAAAAATATACATAAAAATAGTTATATATAACTATATTAGTAATTAATAAAATGATTTTTGACTCTAGTAAATTAATTCCTTGTAGGGATCTTGGTTTTAATTTCTTGTTTTAAATCTATTTTCATCGCTTGTTATTATTACTATAGTTTTTTTTTGACCTCAGTTATCGCCTTCTGATTTCTATGTTCCTCAAGAGATTAACAATGGTCCTGTACTTTATCTATACCAGTTACTTTTCTAATTACTTTTGTTTTAAAGATAAAAAAACATACAGACAAGGTAATAAATATATTTGGAAATAAACATTAATAATTCATTTGACTAGAATAAATTTACTGAATTCGTACTACGCATTATTAATTGTTTATTGCCATTAACATCTTGGCTGCAGACATAATACCTGCCTTCCCAGCCGGCGGTCAAGTCCCTTGGGCTACTGGGATACCTGCCTTCCTGCCTCGGCTATCGCCACTTGTAGCAGTACTCCCACTTCCACTGTTTGCCCTTGTGGCTGGTCCGTGCATTTATTCATTAGTCCTCTGGAGCTCACTCAGTTCGGTCGTTCTGGTTTCTAATCTTTTGTTGGAAGCTATCAGTTGTAAATTTATTCTGAAACCAAAATTAAATAAGAAGGTTTAAAATACATTTTTGAAAGCTAATATCTTTCAGGATGACTCAAAATAGTATTTTAAACAAATTTAAGGGGGAGAGAGATTTTTCCCTAACCTTTTTCGATTTCAGGACCCACCATCGGGAAAAAACACTCGTTATGAGATCTTGTAGTCAAAGGGTTAAGAAGTTCAATTAGAACAGTAGTTCTCCACTGGTGGTTCATGTACCATAAGTGCTTTGTGAGAGGGGCTGTGGCATCATATATTTTGTGAGAACTTATCTGTTACTGTTTATCTATTGAATTTATTGTAATATTTTTAACATTTATTTTATTTCTAAAACTTATTCACTCTTTTTTTGTCTTTCACTTATAGACCAAAGTTTTAAACTTTCTGTCCATCATCATGAATCTCTATCTAAAACAATTATATAAACATTTCAAGTTTACATAATCATTTCTTACAATAATATTTTCTAATTTCTTTTGATCGTTGGTATTAATACATTATTATACTTCAGAAAATTTCAAATTAATTATTTTAAATTTTAAAAAATATTTGTTAATTTCATTAGTTAGATTGACTTTTAACAATTTTTTATACACTTTTTTTTCCTATGCCTAAGTCGCTGGTAATTCGACCATCCGACATTTTTCGACTCCCCTAAATTCCAGTTCACAATTTCCTAATTTATTTATTATTTCCTAACTTTATATTGCCCAAAACAACGTTGTTTTCATGAATGAATTGAAAATTGTTTATTGTTAACTATGAAAAAAAACGTTCATAGCAGGTGGAGGGAGACTTTAATGCTACAAATACTAAGTGGGACTCTCAACTATCAGGCACTCAGGGATAAATGCTAAAAAATGTATAGAGGATCTAAAATTTTCTGTGATTTATCTATCTATGGGAGTGGGGTAGCTCAGTGGTAGGGTACTGCGCTTCCAATGCTAAAGGTCCCAGGTTCGAATCCCAGCTCATGGCAGAAAATTTATTTATTTGTTTGATAGGCCATGGGGAGCCCTGGGTCCAGAGACCCTCCTGGGGCACACCCAGCCTCTATAAAGTGGGTACCCTTAATTTAATAATTAATTAAGGGGGAAAACCCGGCGGTTGAGCATGATCTCAGTCAAATCACCTCCTTGCACAACCGTTGACCTAGAAACAGTGCTTTCCCTAAATAGTACTGAACCCAAGACCCTTCATGGGTTGTAGTGGTACAGGTTTTTATCTATCTAAGCTTAATTAATGCCCTACTTCTCTATCAAAGTCTCCTGATCTTACTTCTGTATCGCAGACTGCTTGTCACTTCCACATTGCGTTTCCTCTCTTTTTGACTGATTATCTGATCATTGCACAGTTTTTCTTGAATTATCAAACAAAATTTGAAATCAAATGGTTAAATAGTAATTATATATTAAGTTTTAATTACAGTTACTATGAAAAATAGACAAAGGAATATTTCAGAAATTTATGAGTCAATCTAATTAATAAAATTAATAAATATTTTAATAATTTTAAAAAAGGTGAGAAAGTAACAATAAAATTTTGCATTTTCCAATGTATAATAATGTACTAATATTTAAGATCAAAATAAATTTAAAATTATAGGTAGAAACAATAAATATGTGTAAAGATAGTATGAATGTTTGTTCGTAACATTGACGTATAAGAGAGGAAATAAAAAAAGTGGCAATTCTTAAAAATAAAATAAATGTAAAAAATATAATCTTAGAAAACAAATTTTAATTGTTTAACTATTCATTTACCTTTTATGTTAGTTAAAATGTTTTAACAGATAAAAGTGCTCCAAAATGCAACTAGGTTGGGAGCCACTCAATGAGAGTAGGAAAGACCTACCTTCTAAGTATCACCACCTATCCTAATAAAGTATTATTCAAAACAATGTTAGTATCATTATTAGTGTTGTGCCAGATACCCGGCTATATTTTTGCTTGCTGGTTTTCTTAAAAATATCTAGACCTGTATAATCTTGTACAGGTAAATTTCCCAGGTAATGAATGAATAATTCATATTGTAAAATCAGTTATTTATTTTCTGAAAATTAAAATATATTCATTTCTTTGATTTAAGAAATAATTTTAATTACACTGGTAATAATCATAAATTTATGACAAAAGTAAATTATTCAGGCTCAATTTGGGTTAGTTTTGACACATTTCTTCCGGATAAAATATTCCCTAATATAGTCGACTCAATAATTCGAAATCTAAGGGACTACAAGAAAAATTCAAATTATTGTGACTTCGAATAACTAAGAAGTTTGAATTATCAAGATGAAAGAAAAAAAAATTCAAATTATTAAGAATTTTTATTATATTTTTGGAAATATGTATGAGTTTACATAAATTTTATGTATATATATAGGCTCATGTAAAAAATATTACTAGGAAAATTTCAAATTATAAAGAGGAGAAGTGGTCTAGTTCGAATTATAGAACGTTTTCTCCCCCTCTTGTTGCGAAAATGATTTTGAGTTATTGAGTGTGTCAAAATACAGCATTTTTTTCAATTTATTGAAGTTAACAGCTGAAGAACTTAAATTTTCGAAGATCAATTGTACTGGGTACCTGGTTCTTGGTACCAGGTCTTGGTTCTCAGAGTTTGAATGACCTTATTACCCAGCATCCAGTACAATTTGTTACCTGACCCCCCTCTAACCATTATAAATTCAGATTGATTTTGGTATAACTGAATCAAAATCCAAGACTACAACCTACATTATTAAGGTGATATTATTCTTATCTTATTTTTCTTTTCTTGTTAAAAATAAGCAATTGAATTGATTTATTGCCTTTTCCTTCCTATTTCATTACTGGGTGATAAATAGTAAAGAGGCAGTCATTGTGAATAATTTTTATTTGTGCCAACGTACTTGAATAACTTCAGTGCTGGAAACATACCCTCGTGATGAATGACCCACATGCCTAGGTTGAATCAGCACAAATAAAAAATATTCAAAATGACTGTGTCCTGGCTATTTATCACCCATGATATGTAGAACAGTCGACCAACTTCCTTCTATAATTTATAAAATCTTATTTCATTATTTCAAATAAATTCCATCCATGAATAAATTTACTCACCAATGGTGGAAAGTTCTCCTCAGTAAGGACGTTA